TAATATAATATAAAATTTATAAATTGTATTTGAAGTAGAAGTAGAAGTATAACATTAAATAGTATAATATTTAATGTAATAAATTATATATATTTTTTATTATAATTAACACGGTAGTTAATACAAGCACAACAGTAGTTAAAATCTAAAATTAAGATTCTAACTTAGCTTATATAATATAATCAAGTCTACGACAATGAAAAATTGTTCTGAATAATCATCCCATTTATCTAGGGGATTCTTAGAAAAATCATTAGAAAAACATTTATGAATCTTAAACCTCGGATTATATTATCCAGAAGCATATCAACGACTTCTTAAACTACAATCGAGTCTAAAGTTCAGAAGGCTTTTATGACAATCATGAGGCCTCTGATGGCCTCAAGCTGTGGCTGCGAGAGCCCCCAAGGCCTCTAGTGGCTACCACAAGGCCTTAGAGACCTCCAACTTAGCCACGAGGCCGTTAGAGGTGGTGACGCTAGAACGGTAGAGGGTGGTTGCACAATTAGGGGTGGTGACAAATCTAGTTGGATGATTAGGGGGTGTTTTGTTATTTTGTCAAAGGGTAAAATTGTCTTTACACCTCTTAACAGATTTTTCATTAACGGAACCGAACAAAATGGGGTTAGGCTCCAATTTCCCAAACGAGCAGGCGCTTCTTGTGATTCCTCAAACGCGTGGGCGTTTGCTATAATTTCCCTATATATATAAACACTAATCTTGTAATAAATAATTTTTGTGCACGTAAAAAGTATAAAACTTCATTTATGTTATGAATCAGTTCATTATTTATTTTATTTTATTTTTAATGTAAATACACCATCAATTCCGGAATTCCAGTACAGGAGTCAAAGAAAAGACCCAGGATTGTCTCCATGTTAAAAAGCCTTCAACTTCTCCTGTGGAAAGTGGAGACTCTTCTTCATTCCAACACTCCCACTCTCAGTTCACTCATGGCTGAACAAAATCCAAATCCAAAGCCTCAGTTTCACTTTACCATCTTTATATTGACTACTTTTCTATGCTTCTTTCATGGCAAGTCATCTCAGTTTGGCCTATACAACAACGGGCTGTGGCTCAACGAAGACGATAATGAAGTTAACATGGCCCAAACCAGGCGTCAAACTTCCAAGAGTTGTGATTATACGGCCGGTAAATGGGTTTATGATCCCTCTTATCCTCTTTATGACACCAGTTGCCCATATCTTAGTACTGCAGTAAGCTGCCAGAAAAATGGACGTCCGGATTCTGAGTATCAGAAGTGGAAATGGAAGCCGCATTCTTGTTCCATTCCAAGGTATTTTTTCTTCAAAAGTTTGTATTTTTCTCTGTGTTAAAGATCAGCTAGAGGCTTTGTGTTCAAGACCCTCTTTTGTAGAAGCAAAATATTGATGATTACTTGTGTAATTTGTCTTGATTTTTTATCATGGGAAGAAATATGATGATGAATGTGAAACTTTGCCGCCTTATTCTTTTTCAATTCCAAGATGTTTTTGCTTCAAAAGTATGTATTTTTCTCAGTGTTAGAGATCAGCTAGAGGGTTTGTGTTCAAAACCCTCTTTTTTAGAAGCAAAATGTTGAAGATTACTTGTGTATATTCTCTTGATTCTGATCATAGTAAGAAATTTGATGATAAATGTGAAACTTTGAAGCCACATTCTTGTTCTATTCCAAGGTGTTTTGTGCTTCAAAAATATGTTTCTCAGTGTTGGAGATCAGCTAGAGGTTTTTTGTTCATAACCCTTTTTCAGAAGCGAAATGTTGAGAATTACTTGAGCATTTTGTCTTGATTCTGATCACGGTGAGAAAAATGATGATGAATGTGAAACTTTGGAGCCACCAGTTGCGATAGAAGTTAATTTTTCTTTTGTAAGTTTTGACTGTGTAGGGTAGATGCATGTTTGAGTGGTTTTGATGACTAATTTTTTGTGGTTTCAGGTTTGATGCACTGAAATTTCTGGCAAAGATGAGAAAGAAAAGGATAATGCTGGTGGGGGACTCTATAATGAGGAACCAGTGGGAATCTCTAGTCTGCTTAGTGCAGGGAGTTATTCCAACCGGGCGGAAGAAGGTGACATATAATGGGATTTCTATGGGCTTCCATGCCTTGGTAAGTTGTTAAATTTCTCTATCAAGGCAATTATTTGTGCCCTGATCATAAATATGCTAAAATTTTTTACAGATAATGTAGCTTTGCATGGGGATTCTCGGTTCAGATTGAGGTTTTGTTTAATTGAATTATGTGATCTGATTGCATAAGTTTTACTACTTTTCTTTTTAATTTTTTGGTCTGTTATAGAGTAAGTAGAATTTGATAGTGCTGTGGTTTAATGGTTAAGCCTCAAGTTAAATTGTTCTCTTCCAAGTGAGAATATGAGAGATCATGCTGCATTTTCGCAGGATTTTGATACCTCAATTGAGTTTTGTTGGGCTCCACTCCTAGTGGAATTGAAGAAAGGACCTGAAAACAAGAGAATCCTTCATTTGGATTTGATTGAAGAGAATGCAAGATATTGGAGAGGGGTTGACATTCTTGTGTTTGATTCAGCTCACTGGTGGACTCACCCTGAGAAGAAGTCGTAAGTTACATTTCCTGCTTATCTTATTAGCTTTCATCTTCATAAATGATTTTCCTGTTTGTGGTTATTCGCGTGATGAGGAAACAGAGGAAAGGAGAGAAAAAGATTTGAGCTTTTTTTTTTTGAGTTGCATTTCAAATAAGTTTGATCTAATTGGTAGTCTATCATCAATATGGAGAGGATGTTGTAATCTCAATTGCATTACTTAAAAGAGTAACATGTGATCTGAATTGAACAAGTAAATCTAATTTCAGGTGGGACTTTTACATGGAGGGACAATCTTTCTTTAGAAACATGAATCAGATGGTTGCTTATCAAAAAGGACTCACTACATGGGCAAAATGGGTGGATCTAAATCTCGATCCTCGTCAAACCAGAGTCATTTTCCGAAGCATGTCACCTACGCATAACAGGTATCATGAAATTGGCTGAAAATATAGACTGTTATTTCCTTTTAAGTATTGCATTTTAGTAGCTCTTATTTATTTATTTATTTTTCTTTTGACAGGGAAAATGGTTGGAAATGTTACAATCAGAAGACTCCTTTGCCCTCTTTTAGTCATCAACATGTTCCTGAACCACTAATAGTACTTCAAGAGGTGCTGAAAAGAATGAGATTTCCAGTATATTTGCAAGATATTACGACAATGTCAGCTTTCCGTAGAGACGGGCATCCCTCTGTGTACCGAAGGGTGATAAATCAGGAAGAGAGGCAGCACCCCACAGACTTCTCCTCCGACTGTAGCCACTGGTGCCTTCCTGGAGTGCCTGATAGCTGGAATGAGATGTTAAGTGCAATACTCTAAGTGAAAAATACTAGACTTGGTAGAGTAACTGTTCTACAAAACTCTAAACTTTGTTTCGGTCGTCCTAGAGTCTGTAAAATAAGTTATGGTACTTCATATTTTGAGTGTTTTACGAAGATTTTATCAGATGGTGAATGATATGTTTGGGCAGGTTACCTTTACTTGCCACAAATTTCTGACTGCAGCTCGTGGAATTTTCTTTGTTGCCTTTGAAACATGAAGAGGTTGAAAAGTTCAATCTACTGAAATTAAGCAGTGATTGAAGAGACAAAATTTTGGGGTCAATGAATCCAAGGCAACAATTCTTCAACAAGAAGTAAGAAAAGTGGGGAAAAAGCAACATGGTACCATTGAATTCATAATTCATCTAACTTTTACTTTTTGCAAGTGCTTCTAATAAATTATTAACTGAAGAAAAGCTTCTATATAGTTGACCATTTACTTTTGCTTTACCAAAAATAGGGAAATTTGGTAACCATCATAGTTATGAGCTTTCGCTTTTTCCACACTTCCTTCAAGAACAAGACTTGGTAATTCAGGTCTTTGAGATGATGATAATGATTCTGCATCATTGTCATCTCAGCATGAGAAAAACCCCCCCAGAGGTTTGACATAGTGGATAGAGCTTATTCAGTCTTGGCAGTGTCCCAGGTTCGAGTCTCTTATCACAATGGCCCCCTTAGGGGTGGAAAAAAAAAAAGCATGAGAAAAAGCCTGGTCTTGCTGCCTCTAAGTGATAGAATTTGAGGTAGGCTTGACTCTTCACCCAATAAGGCCTCACGGTCAAACCCAACACTCAACTGTGAGCGTGTTTAGTTGGTGTGAGACTCTAACATTTCCTCTCATATGTCTAGCTCTGATATCATGATAGAATTTGAGATGGGTCTGATTCCTCACCTAATAAGACTTTGTTCAATGAGAGGATTACCCTTTTTATAAACTAGTAGACTTGAACATGTCTAGTAAGTGTGGAACTCCAACACTAAGAAATCGAATTTATTACTCTTAACAAAAGTCAATGTCTACGAGAATTCAAAAGAGTTCAAGATAAATTAGCTTCTCTTAAAAATGTAGTAGGATACTCCTAGTTGTGAAGAGAAACTCTCTTTTCTCATTCTTTCTGTCGTGGCGTCCTACATGCTATTATTAGTTATTACTTTGACATGCTCCAGAAAAATCAGAAATAGCAGAAAAACCCAGCAAGGTGGGATACCCATAAAAAATCCGACCTTATCAAGCAGGGAACCTTGGAAAATTTGGGATTGGGGACTGGAATGGGAAAATTATACCCGGGAGGAATATGAAAACCCGCAACATCCGGTCCTTTACTTAAAAAAAAAAAAAAAAATCTGAGAATTTCCAGGTTAGGGCCGGTGTGGGTATTGCATTCCCCTCCCAGTGATATCCATCCCAGCTTCCAAAAATCTGGGGTTGGAACAGGTCTGTCCCCAAAAATCATCAATGCTAATAGAAAGAACAAGAATTTAATGAAATGCAGTTGTGAAAAACCATATAAGCACATCAAGAAAATAGAATTGCCTTGAAACAGTCAGTAAATGAAACTGAAGCATGAAAAATTTACAAAACTTTATCCTAATGAAGTTTTTCTTTATTAACCATCAAAATATGATGGTGAAATTGTACTTGAATGCTACATATTCAAGGCGAAATTTCAATTGTAATGTTATTACAGAATGTCTAAAGAATTAACAACAAACAGCTACCAATCTAAGTACCTGAAAACAAATCAAATGCCCTGCAGAATTTATCTCTACCTCAATTAATGGGGAGTCAACTTCTTCCTTAACTTGGCAATCTCCTCGGAACTCAATCCAAAAGCCTTCTCCAGAAGCTCCTCCTTAATCTCCGAACCAAAAACCGCAGACGGAATTTTCATCAAACCAGGATTTTCGCTGTCGAAACTTCCCAAAATAGTAGCCCTGGAGTCTCCAACATTCATTTGAAAGTGAACCAAACCCTTAGGAAACACCATCACTTCGCCACGCTCAATCACCTTGGCGAAAATCTTGTTCTTAGTATCGACAAATCCGGAGTAAATCTTCCCCTCGAGCACATACGCCACCTCAGTCGCCCTGGGATGAAAGTGCGGCACATTGACACCACCAACCTCAAAGTCAGCTCTCGCCAACGACATGCCTAAAGTGTTCAACCCTGGAAATACTTTCACATTCACAGGAATTGATGCAAAACCAGTTTCAGTGAACTTTCCAGGATGTTTTATGCCTGAAAAAACAAAGTCTTCAACTGTGGCAAGTGAGGAGTTTTTGCAAGTGGTTTCGGAAATGGTGGTTGGGATGCAGAAGTCAAAAACTGGATCAGGGTCAGAAGCTAAAGTGACCATTATTATACAGCTGTGGAAAAGAACAAGAAATGGAATTGCAGAGTTTGAGGACATTGTTTTCTGATCTTTGTTGTTCTTGGATGAAGAAGAATGGACAAGTCAATGATGGAGATTGTCAGGATTTGTGGACAGTATGCGTTTTATATTTATATAAGCTGTGAGAAATGGAAGAACAAGAGGTAGTTGGCGGATTTATAGTCCTAGTGCTTTTCTTTAACCTATGGTTTATTAATAACATACTTGAAGCAACATCTTAATGTATGATTACCTTTGGAAGTGTGTTTTATGAGATTAATGTGATGATGGATGCATAAAATACAGTCGTAAGATAATGTTTGTTAACAAAATGAAAATGAAAATAGCTTGGGAAGAAAGGGTTAGGTTGGAACATAGAAGCAACTAAAAAGCTTGTCAGATTGTGGGAATTGTTAATGGATTTGATTATTGAATTTGAACAAGGCGTGCTTCTTAAGATAGAAAGTAGAAACCATGCCACCTAATCCTTCATCTGGAATACTCAAAAATTCCAACTGCTCAGTAGAAGATGCACATGCCTTTTGTTTTCAATTTGAGTATCAATTTTAATTTTCAAGAATTGTCCATGGCCCGAAAACCACTACAACTTTTATTCGATGGATAGTTTCAGGGTTTCAAAAAATTAATTAAAATGTATGTAAACTGGTTCGAAAACCCCGAATTATTAAAAAAATAAAAAAATTGATAGTATTGATATCAATAACAACATTTTGGATATAAATAACAAATTTTCAATGAGGTATAACAATATTTTAAATATCATATATAACCAAAATATCACATTGGTAATGTTATCACTATGTACCAAATACATCATCAAATAATCATCTTACAAATTACAATATTGAGTTTCCGAATTGATAAGAAAAATTTTGATTAAGGATTTTAAATAGTCATATCTATGTAAAATTCTACTTTCAATAATATTTTTAAAATTACCCAAATGATTAAGCCGTGGATAATACAATCGTCAAGCATGCTAGATGCTACTATCGACTACCATTAGATATATGCAATAAACTCTTCCAACACACACTATAAAAGCCAGCGCAAACTGTGACGCAAAGGAAGTTTTCATAATTTTAAGTTAATATGTTCTCAGAATACATAACAAGTCATTAGTACTTGTTTAAGGAACATCCCAGAATGCAATTCTGTAAGATGAAATCAGAATATGCAACATACAACTTCAATACTTGACTTCCGCCAGGCATGGTTTTGGTACAGGCACCGTTACAGCGTAAAAACTGGTGAATTTCTTTTGATTATTAGTAACTGTCAATATCAGTTTCCGGCCTTCTAAGGTAGTAACGAATACAGTTTAGCAGCACCTGCAGGTTCAAAGAGAAAGGTTGTGTGAGAGACTAATGGCTTCGTTGTTAAAAAGATCATGCATGGCAAACTGATAAGTCAAATAACTAAGTAATCCATGCGTTTGTTCAGTGACAGTAGAGAAGCAAAGACGATTGAGATATATAGACAAAAACAGTTACCTGAGACAAGGAACTGTTTAATGCCTGCCCTCCGTAGCTGACATGGAACTTGTCTTTGGCTACCAAACCCTATTAGAAGACAGAAGACAGAGTGAGAATGCAAGATCAGGATTCTGCATGCATTTGTTTATAGAGAGAGCGAGAAAAAGGGGAGAAAGGAAGATACTTCAGTGTCAATCACTGCTGATTCCACATCAATATTGACATCGGCAATAATTTTAATGATTTCTACCAGCAATCCGGGTCGATCTGCTGTTTCTATATAGAGCAAGCTGGTGAAATACAGACTAACATGAATAAGAATGTCATTGCCAAATACTTCTCTTCAAGTCAGTACCAAATTTACTGATTTTTTTGGATCCCCAAATGTTAGACAAAATTAGACAGAAATAAAACCCAAATAAATCACGTGAACTATTCTTCTCAAAGATATTCACAATATTGAAAAGCTACAAACCTCCTCTTAGGTCCATCCTCCTTGACATGTACATGAGTAGCAATATCAACATCAAGCTGCCAACAACAAAATAACTAATTAAATTCAAGCACTCAGGAGCACAATGAACATGGCCATGCGATCTAAAGTACTGGGCTAAAAAACCTCTTATAATTGAGACTCGCTTATTAAGAACATGCTTTTAGAAGCCTCACATATCCTGAATATGTTCATTTGATCTGCTTAATCTGGTAAATCATTGTAATTGAAGAAATAATTTGATAAATAAACCAATTACAAAATTTAAGATGTTAAACAGAATCACGCACAGGATGTGCTTTTCTGAGAGAAAAAGTGAAATTACAAGATTGACAAGTAGCTTATCTAAACCAAAGAAAACAAGAACTGCACGGACATGGAGTAACAATCAAAGATGCATTACCTCAATCTTAAAACTGACAACATGGGCAGTTGTCCCTTTATTTCAAGTTTCTAATATTCTCAACTGAGAAGATATGGCTCATATGTAGCCACAAACAGTGATATACCTCATGTGGTATATGATCAGTAAGGCATCAACATACATCTAGATTATATTCTATTTTCTATGCATAAAGCTGAAGTGTCATACTTCAGTAGAACACTGTGAATTTTCTTCCCTCAGCAGCAATAAATATTAGCTCTTATACCATACATCTGCATTACAGAGGTTGGCAATGTGGACATTTACAGTTGGCAAAGGCAGTCCATAGGCAATAAAAACAATGTCCATCATAAAGAAAACAGATAAGAACAAACTAAAGCAATTATGATAGAGATAATTTACTGAGCTGAAATAATCTCTAAACAGACCACCTTTTTCTCTGGAGCTTTTATTCCAAAAGCCTCACCCATGGCAAGTTGTACACTAGATTCCTAGAAAAGAGTAGAAACAAATCAGGACACATGAAGAAAATAAATGCTTGAAAATTTAAAGAGGGAATTTTTCTTGCTTCACCCACTCCAACACAGAGAGAGAGAGAGAGAGAGAGAGAGAGAGAGAGAGATGCAAGGACAAGAATTTAAAGGTATCAACTCAGCATACATACAGGATGATACTTCAAGAGATTGTTAATGACAGTAAGCCGAATTCTCTCCAACATATCAGGGTTTTCAACTTTGCGCCCCGTGTCTCTAGCATAAGAAAACATCAATCTCAAAATGCTAAGAACTTGCAATTCAAATTATATCTGATAATTTGTTTCATAAATTGAGCTAATGTAAGTGTTTAAGATATTGGTATACAAAATATTGCCAATTTAAAACAAAATTGAAAACATCTTATGAAAAAAACAACAATACTCTCCGTCTGATTCAATGCAAACAAAACAAGAACATATTTTTTCTTGAACTAAAAGAAAAGCAAGAAGTGGAGGGAAGGAGTACATTGTCGAACTTCTGCAGAATAAAAAAATTTAAGGTCCAATCAATATCTACTAACCTCTCAGAATGGTCAATGTGAAGCAGTCTAGATGATATCTACTTCACTTGGATATGCGCAACAATAAGTAAAAGGTCCTTTTGGAGACACCCAATAGTTAAAATATCCAAAGACTAACACAAGGGCTATGACTCTACATGGAAGATGCTCAACAGTTGTAAGGACGCAAAAGTTTGGTTATATGCTTTACAAAAGAAAAAGATGAAAATCATCTTTTTTTTTGCCGGATGATAAACCCTTTAGCCACAAGGGTTAGCTTGTGTTGGAGTCGCAGAAGAGGTGCCTACCACATTTGTACAATTACCTTGGTCCATTGGATTTGTAGGGTGTTCGTGGCCCTAAGGATTAGGCAGGCTCCAATGTGGGCATGGAAACCTCAAAAATAAAAAAATAATAAAAAAGATGAAAAGAGAAAAACAAATTTGGTATAACAAATGGTTTGTTTTCTGAGCTTTCAAGTGAGATTAAGTTAAGACAACTTTCAAGTGAGATTAAATTAAGACAAAAGCTCTCTCTTAGAATATTTAGCTGGCCCTATCTTCTCATTATTCATCAGCAAATTTTAGCCATTATCAGTCACTACTTTCCCATAAGAGTTTTTTAAGCTCATGCTGATCTCTATGATACACTATTGAAGATGGCAAATTCTTTCACGATTACAAGTCTAACCATGCATCAAAAAACAATGTTCCAGTAACTGACCACAATTGTAGATCATGACCTCAGATAAGTATGGGACAAGTGTCAAATGTTACTTAGCGAATATGCAATTATTACATACTTTTAGCCTCTTGAGCATATAAATTATAAAACATTATAAATCCATCCTTAATGGATCATACCAAAAAATTGAATGTTGATTCATGATATAACACAAATTATTATTTTCATCTAAACATGAACTACCACCAAAACAAACATAAACAATTATAATGAAGCATTCAAATAAAAGAAACACGGTTGGTTCATGAACCTTCTTTCCTACTTTAGCAAACCGTCAAAGTAAAAATGCAACATGGTTGGTTAATGAACCTTCTTTTCCCACTTTAAAACAAAAGAAGACCCTAGAAGTAAATTAAATGCAAAAAAATGAATGGCAGCCTACAAAGATAGAAAAAGACAGTGCAAATCAGATTAAGAGCATAAACATTTATAAAATATTATGGTCTCCTACTTAAAAACTAATCAAATCATTCCAGAAAATTACACACATCAGCAGGATGACGAAAATGGTTTAACTGATTGCCTGGAAAAGATTCTCTTCAGTAACAGACAAGTACAATCACAGAAGCGTGAGACTCATTCACGGCAAACTATGTTCATGAAATGATAGTAAAAAATTCTATTTCTCTAGAAATTACTCACAATCGTGTAATGAAAAGTCTTGTTTGTTTGACTGATCCTTCTGTAAGAACAGTTCCCTTAGCCACATCCAATCCCAATTGTTTCAGTGCATTAATCTGCCCAATTATATACAAAAAGAAAAAACATAACATATGAGTGCGGAACTACGATGGGTGAAGACTACTGGTTCATTGAATAGACAAGTATTACTCTTTGATATGTGTACATAACTAAACTAAAATTTCAAGAAAAGAAAAATGGATGTGTGTACATAACTAAACTATAAATTTACACTTCACCGTGTCAATAAGAGCTCCAAGACGGTCTCCAAAACTGAGTTGTACAATTGTAGCATCCGAATCTGAATCCTGGTCAATCAGAACTATTGGCATCGGTACATCATCAGCATCTAGCTCTGACTTCTGCAATTAAATTTGTCCACCAAGTTAATATGTTTTGCAACATAATGGAGTCTATTAAAACACTTTTCTTATAGCCATTAATGATAAACTAAGTAACTACCAAATTCCAGAAACTTTATACACGGTGACAAAGTAAAAAGAAAAGCAAAAAAAGTCAGATATCAAGTTCCTTCTAATTAAAAGGGTGTCTACGTATCATCACATCAATTTTTCCCTTAAATAATTTATTTTTCATTAACTTTTAACAAAAATAACTAAGAATTGGAAGGCAGGAACACGTTACTGACCAGTGGAGTTGAACTGACTGCATTTGTACGATCACTGGTAGCATACAGAATGTTCCTGCATAACACTTCAATGAATCATGGAACCACAGAAGGACAATCATTACCAATATTTGTTTTTATGAAATTTTGATTTACACTGTAAAATGTTCTCCACTAAAAACATTTTTATCGCACAAACAAAAAAATTTTGATACTGTATGGGACAAGTGTCATATTCAACTCACTTGTCTGATATCCAAAGAAAATTTGAGAAGGCAGCATAAATAATTTTCTTATAAAATATTTTGATACTGTATAATGTTGAGTAACAACCCAATAAATAAAGAAGGAAGCAACTTGAATGCATAAAAATCTTGTACAGCTGAAAGTTGACTCAAATACTAAAAACATTAATCTCAACAAGTCAATTCTTTTTCTTCTCTCCAGTTTTCCCAATAACCAAACAGACAGTAATTTTGTATATGGTTCAGTTAAGTGATGGTTTTATCTATGAATACACATACATTTACGATAGCTAACTCACGCGCTTTACAACACTATTAGGACATAAAACACAACGTGCTACCCATTCTCCTCAAATAAATTTCCTTGAAAATATCATAACCTCTCCAAATTTCATGTATTTATCAAAAACCCCCCTTCCAATCGAGTAAATTTGCCGCAATTAAACCAAGCCTCTTTCGCAATCAAAATACAACCAAAACAGAGCTACAGCCATCAAGAAAACAAACACAAATCGCAAGCATTAACACGATGATTTTCAAATTTCATCAAACAAACAAAGAAGAAGAATAAGAATAATTTGATTACTGTCCTCGGGGAGAAGCCTTAGTTGAGAGAAATTGCGAGAAATCTGAGAGAAATTGCCACTGAAAATGAGATGATACCAGTGTGAGAAATTAGAGGGGACAAATCGGAATTGCGAGTGGAGATCGAAGAAGAGTTGAAGAGAAGAAGGGGAGTTGGTGAAAGCCATGGAAGGAAATGTTTTTGGTTTTGTTTGTGTTTTGGCTTTTGGGTTCGGCTTCGGGTGAGTTGAAGAGACATGAAGTTTATTTTGCTTTTGTTGCAGGATTGCTATTATTTGGGGTGACGTGTCATGTCACAATGTGGGACCTTGTTGTTGAGAGAAGTGGATGCACGTAGAAAGTGCATGTCAGCAAGTTGTTGGAGAGATGATATTTTTGCCTGGTGGCCCACACCAATAAGTAACCGGAGGGGGACCAGGTTCGGGTCGGTTCTCACAGGTCTAGGTCATATACCGGTCAAGTTTACGGGTCTAAAAATTGGATGTACCTATCCCTAGCGGGTACCTCTTTTTTTTCTCCAGATTTAAAATCTTCACCCCTAATAATTTTAATTATAACAGTTACACCCCAAAATTCTTACAGTTTTAATTTTACATTTACACCCCTAAAATCAACTACTTTAAATTCAATTCAGAATATAAACAAATAGGAACCAAAATAAACAAATAACACATAAACACAACAATAAGTCAATAACATATTAACATATATACAAAATTATAAATACCAACCAAAATAAACAAATTCATAATCACTAATAGTAAAAAAAAACAAAAAATAACAAGTCAAAAACTATAATACAAAACTAAAAATATCAACTAAAATAACAAATACATAATTATAATACACATAAAAAAACACAATAAGTCAATAAAGTAAAATACAAAACATAAATACCAATTAAATAAACAAATCCCTTTTTTTTTTTTTTAACAAGTACCCGTAGGTTGACCCCCATAACCCATTGAATATACGGGCCGAGCAGGTATGGGTCTAAAAAACGGGTCTAATACATTAGACCCGTACCCTATATTTTACTTGATATGGGTTGACCCGCGGGTCGACCCATTTTGTCAGGCCTACCCAAGATAACTTGAATAGATACGAATAAGAAGTAATTTCTTTTATTTTATTACTAAAATTTCTATCTATGAATCGTTGTCATGATTTATTGATAACCATTATTATTATATTAAATTAATAATTTAAAAAAATATCGATACACAACCATATCAATTGATTGATGTGACAAAACTTTTTATTATAATATATTTCTAAAGGAGTAATCTTAAATGTAAATTTTATATATAAATAAGTATACGAAGATGATATTAACTTTATATTAATAAATAACTTTTTATTTTCACTCACCAATACATTTGGTGTCATATTATTTTGTATACCTAATATTATTTTCTTAAAAATACATATAATATATGGAGTATTTTCATATCACACCTATAATAAACAAATAAACTATCATTAGTAACGTTAATCATCTAATTCTTAATCATCATTGGGTGGTCCGATGATAAAAGAATAAAAAAAAGTTTTATAAGTTTATAAGTTCGAGTCTCCACATGCCCTAATAGAGGTAGTCACTGAGAGGCTTACCTAATCGTAACTTCAGGGTTCCGAGATATTAGTAGTACATGCAAACTGGCGCGACATTCTCTGTCAAAAAAAAAAAAAAAAAAAAAAATTAAAATTATTCATCCTAAAATTTGATTAAACAACGAAATTTTATAATTTTAGAAATAAAAGATAATTCTCATATTTAAATTTTAGGTGTTATAAAGTAACACCTCCTCTCTACTACTATTCTAATACATACTATGTAAATTATAGATATACATAGCGTATGAAAGAAGTGGGCCAAATTTTTCTTACTCATAAAAAATAATTCTTTACAAATACAAAATACTATGTAAAGAACTTTCTACTAACATACAACATCATAGCTGATGGACAGTGGTGCCAATACTCTTTGCTCCTCGATGTCCATCCGACTGCTGCTCCTATTTCCTGCAAAAAAAGAGAAGAACAAGGGGTGAGCACAACAATGCTCAGTAAGTAAATCCTCTATACCTGTCCCCGCACTTTTGGTTCTTTCCTTACTCTACGTTCTTCTATTTTAATTCTCACTGTTTTTCTCTTTCTCTCTAATACTTTTATTCTCCTTAACTCTGTTTTGTCTTTTTATTCTTCTTTCTCTCTGTTTTATCTCTTTTCTCATTCTCTTATTCTTACTCACCATGAAAGAAACATGGTTCTTCTTATTCTCATCATACTCACCATGAGGGAAAATCATGGTTCTCTCGTATTCACCATGAAGGAATCATGGTTCTCTTTCTTATTCTCGTCATACTCACCATGAAGGAAAATCTGATGCATGCCTGTATGAGCTGTACATAATTATACAAAAGAATTGCATGTTTTTTCTTCACTTATATTCTTACTAGCTTAAAATCTCTCATCTTTCCATACTCTCTTTCTATCTCATTCTTTCTCAAGTTTCATTCTTAATTTTCTCTATTATCTCATTCTCATTCTCATAATTCATTCTACTAACTCGCTCTTTGAATGTCACGGCCCATCTTACCGGAGCACGGCCAGGATTCTCCCACTCTACGTGACTTCTACTGATCTCTTTCTGTCTCCTTTCCATAACTCTTTTGTTAACTTTTGTGTAGGTCACGGCCTCATCTTACCGGAGTCACGGCTGGGTACTCATCCCACTCTTCGTAACCCACTCATTGTCTCTCTTTATTCTTTTCAGTTTGCTCATTCTCCTCACTTGCATGTCACGGCCTCATCTTACGCAGGCACGGTGGGTGGAGTCACAAAGCACCAACCCACTCTTTGTGAATTCTACTCATTCTCTACCGATCGGACTTGGTTATGCATGGATTCGGAACCCTTGGCCACGTGAGTGTATTCCTCTCTCTGAATGTCACGGTCCCATCTATCGGAGGCACGGCTGGAAACTCATGTCCACTCTTTGTGACAGTCACGACCCTATCTTACGGAGGCACGGCTAGGGATCATAAAGTACCCACTCTTGTGACTTTACCTCACTCACAGGTTCCCCATCGCACAACCTACTCTATTATCTTCTTTACTCTTAGAATAGTTTATTCACAAAGATCTCTACTCTCGCTCAAAATAATCTTTCTCAAGCTAGTATCATAGTATAGCTTATCTTAGAGTAGTCTATTCACAAAGTTTTCTACTCTTTCTCACGCTATTACTCATAGGGTAGCTTATACTCAAAAGCTCTACTCTTTCTCAAGTCTTTCTCAATGCAAACTAATGCATCTGGATGGGTTATGATCATTAATGCACTTATGAAATGCCAATATGCATGTAGCAAGATAAGGTTCACTATTCATACTAACTTCTCTAGGCATTTCATCAAATAACTCATGTGCATACAAAAACTCTTCTCTAACTACAACTACTTCTCTTTTAACCATCCAAAATGGGAGGAAACTTCCTTCTATGGACATTGTTCCTATCATAGAAGAACATCCCAAAATATCTACAATCTCCTCCAACTTTATCTCAAACTCATCACACATCAACACTTCCATGAAGGAAATATATCAACAACACAACAAGAATACTCATCTCAACTCAATTCTCAACAAACAAACATATATCTGTACTCAATTTCTCTATAAGATCATTATACATGCATAAAGAAATTTCCATTCAAGGATTTCTTAAACTTTAGCTTGAGTGGTTACTTACCTCATACTTGAGTAGTCTTCAAAAACTCTCTACTCGTTGGACCTTAGCTTTCCTTATCTCCTAAGCAAAACTTAGTAAGAACTTAACCCTCACATAAATAAAACTCATATCTAGAGTAGGGATTCTTACCTCTTCTGGCTTAGGATCAATTCTTTGTCAAATTCCAACTCAAAACTCTCAAAAATCCCTAGAAGATTGAGTGAGGAATTGAGAGAAAATGAGGGATGAAGAGCGGTGAAATGGGTGAAATGAAGGGGTTTAGAGAACTAAACCCTTATTACTCATATAATATACACTCTTTCCTTTGCCCTTATCTTCTTGAAAATTCCACCTTATCCTTTAATTCTTACAAAACTCCCATTTTACACTATCTCCGTGAAATTTCCTTGCATTTTACTCTTCACTTTTCCTGCTAATTAGGGGTAGAAAGGTCATTTTACCCCTATGGAGAATTCTCTAGAAACCTCAAGAAAATTTTCTGCCGTCTCGTCGCCGCGAAAGAAATTTCTGTCACCCGGCGAACAATTCCAGGATGACACCGCCAAACATAAGCAACATTGCCGCGGCGAAGATTCTTCCTCGCCCCAGCGAGGCTGCACTCCAAAATCTGCCAAGTCTTGGTCAATTACAGGGTAAACACTCAACCAAACCCAAAACATAACTCAACCAAGGGCCAACCAAACAACATGAACAATATACAAACTTATTTAGGAGCAATTCCATAACCCTTTAGGCCATACCATAAACAATGGCCACGTACTCAGTGGGGTGTTACATATAATGAACAGCGAGATGATAATTTGGTAAATATTCATTAACACATAATGGTATAAGTTTAACAAGTTATTAATGGTCACTAGTGATGGGGAGAATGTGTTATTACATCAAACCTTGGTGTTGTGTTTTTTTGACTCAATAAATTGTGATTTATGCAATATGCTGGGTGATTGGGTAATCTTATCCTTAGTCTTAATCATTTTGCAAAGCATATTATAAGGATGGCGGGAAATGTTACCCAAGTTGTCACATATGATATTGCTACAATATAGATTGGGAAATAATTTTTTAATCTTGATAATGAAATTTTCATACAAATTTGTAATCATTCATTTTATTAATCCAATAATTGATAGGTCAAGTCCAAATTTGTAATCACTGAGCTGGTGAAGAGCGTTATATATATATATATATATATATTCTTTTTTATTTAAATCCCAAGGGTCATTATGTATTGCAAGATCCATATAGTTTGGACAAAACGCCTTATATATATATATAAAAGAATCTTGCTTAACGTATAAGGATTAAGAGAGATAATATCAAATTAATCCTGATCGAAAGTTTGGTTAATGTGAGGATTCTAGCTAGAGATGGGCATTCGACCCACTCAGGCAGGACCTGCCCCACCCTGCTCTGAATGGACGGGGAATCCCCGGAAGAGTTGGGGATCGGGACAAGGTTGAGCCTTAGAAAATTCCTCAGTCCTAAGAACGGCCTAAGGACGAAGTTTGGATGCGCCCCGACCCGTCTAATATATATATATATCATTAAAATAACCATAATATCATTTCATTTAAAAAAATTAAAATAATATATTTTCTATGTAATCTTATTAATATTTAATAAATCTTATTAATCTTATATTAATTTGAATAGTTGAAGATTAATCAATAATCAAACTAACCAAATTATTTGGAAGAAGGAAAAGGAACTTTATATGTATTATAATGATGGAGTCTTGACGAGACACAAAAAATTGTATCTCATAAGTGTAATATCTGACTTTAGACAATAATATTTCCTAAATTGTAATATCTAATTTTATACATATAAATCTCACTACATATCTAACAAGTTACTAATGTTATATCTAACAAGTCCTGCTAGTGGTTTTAAAACCTAGACCAGCTCGACCGATTTAACTAGTTGGACAGGGACCCGGGGCCTTCTCTGGGTCGGGTTACCCTTTCAGCTGTTTCAAGTTTAAAATCTAGTAAATACACCCCTGATTAATATGCATCAGTTTCTGAAGGTTTGAAATCTAGCAAACACACCCTTTGGCCAAATGCAAATCAGTGATGACCTCCCCTTTTCTGGCGATCTTCAACCTTCCCTTGCTGTCAAAAACCACCGTCTAACTTTCTCCGGGCCCGAGACGCTTTATTTCCCCCTGCCGTGCAATGTTTTGTCCTCCAACAATTTTTCTTCCATTTCCCAGCGTTAATCGCACCTTCTCCAACATCGATAGGCCTCCTCAGCCACCGATCTACTTTCTCCCAAGCTCCTTTACCATCGTTCACAAAGATCCATAGTTATCTCGCCCAAAAAAGCCATCGCAATTGTTTGACTTCCACCACTGATCTGCCATTTTCTGGCGATGCCTCAATTTACCAGTTGTCGATTCGTCTTCCCTATCACCCAATCTACTCTCCCTGGTGTATCGTCACCGCTCTCCCAGTCGATCGCTGATTTATTTTGGGATGTGTTTGCTGGATTTTAAACTTTCAAACCTATAAGTCAGGGACATGCTCGAGGAATGGAATCCTCGGGCCGCATCCATCCCCAATTCTAGCTTTAGAATAATTGTAATATAATCAAATGTTGATTAGGAGTAATTAAATCATCCAACATTCATTATAGATGTTGCTATTTCTAAATTAGAAAAGTGATAGTGGCAATAGCTCGTCCTCCTCGATTAATTTGTCCATTTTCAATAAAATGAAATATATATTAAATTTATCAATAATGTTATGTTTACTCACGAGCTTACTAACCGCTTTACTACCTTTGTTAAAATTACATATGGTACCCGTACTATACGTATGGTATCCGTACTATGCGTTATATTTACAAAGGATAATAAGATAGTTAGTAAGATCGTGAGTAAATATAGCATTACTCTAAATTTATTTTGAACATGTAGCAAAATGAGGCCAGTGATTGTCGCACCCACGATTATCGTTAGCACTTCTCTTATAAACTATGGTGATAATTATTGTTAAAAAGGAAAATCATCATACATGTAGTCTTTGTATAGATAATTTTGAAACTACAATATCATGTGAGCATAATGATTTAATGCAACTATCTCATTTTAAGTTTTTGGGTTGTTTTTTATTATTTTTAAAATTTATTATCTCTATTTTATTATGAAGAAGAGTAGAGAATGCTAATAATAAAATTAACCCTAAAAGTAATATATTTTTAGATGGTCAAATAGATTTCACCATGCTAATTTTTAACTTTAAAGTACTCCTTAAAAAAAGAAAAAAAAAAAAAAAGTATGAAACGACAGAAGAAAGCGCAAAACGACAGTCTCCTCCTCATAAGGGCTACCCAAATAATAAGAAAAAAGAAAATTCTAATTCTAGGGTTTAAGCCCCAACAGAATCCCTAAAACCCTAACCACTGTTCTTGTTGATCAGCTCTTGCTCCGCTTCAACAATGTCCGTTTTAGACAACTTGAAGAACATGTACGATGTCAAATTGAAGCCACGGATGCTCAGAACTCTCATCAGAGAACAGTTTCCCGACGAAAATCATCCGGGCCGGCTCCCCTCGGAGCTCACAAAACTCATCTCCCTCCTCCGAACTCACAAACTCTTATCGGAATCGTTCGATGACTCGGTCGATAAGAAGCTCGCCGAGAGCTGGAAATCTGCCGTCGATGAATGGGTCCACGCTGTGCTCAGCCTTGTTTCCTCCAACATGGTACATATCAAATAAAGTTCATTGCTTTGCTTATTTTTATTAGTGTTTCGTAATATTAGTAACATTCGAGGTTGATTGGTAGTCGAAATATTATCGGGATAATTTTTGGAAACATACACGCAGTGTGACATTTTGATGTAAAATGTGATGGGACATTTTTCTTAAATTTTCTTCTTTGCGCAAAGTGTTTAATGAGATTTATGTTCAGCTGGGGGCGATAGAGTGTGGCCCGGTAATGTTACTGGGCCAGTGCATCCGTAGGAGGAGAACTGAAGGGTGTTTGATAGTGTTTATGAAATAATGTTTTTAATAATGAAGGTGGATTGGTAATTGTACTAAAAGAACGATTTTTTTTTTTTTTGGTGTTTTTGTATCTTTTTTAGTTCAATAATAAAGTTAGTGAGTTTTGTAATTTGATTTCTGTTTTCCTATATGATGATGCGCGTGCTTTTTATTTACTTTTGGATTTGAATAAAAGAAAATAGGTTTTAAAGATAATCATGAGACACAGCCTAAGATCTTGTTTCCATTTTTAATCTTTTTTTTAGGGGTGGTGTTGTAACCATTGTATGGCCTGTTTGATTGTGCAAGAAAGTTTGGAGGAAAAAGAATAAGAATTTACTTTTTCTTTTTCTTTTAAATTATCTTTTCGTTTGTTACTAGAGTTAGAGACTTTGAACTCATATTATATTGTGGTTAATAAGGAAGAAAAATGTGGCTACTTAATGTATATGCAAAGAAACATATGCCTTACTGGTTTAAGCTTGTAATTTTCAGTTTGCACTTGAAGCAAATCATAGTCATTTAATTGTTTTGTGAATTGTTTATCAAAGAGAGTCACACCTGTGGAATTAATTTTAAATCTAACGTTGTTTATATTCAACTTGGGTGTATGATTACACGTTATGTGAATGAATAAATGAAGTTTCTTAATGATTCTAATTTTCTGTTTAATGCTTATTCGTTCGAATATCTGACTCAGTTCCAGTCGAATAAATGTTGGACAGGAATCTGTTTGCTTGGGGTGACTTTTCAAGAATGTGCAGTTCACCGTTTCTTGGCATCATTCTCAGTTTGGTTCAACAATATTTACTCACACATTCAGGTATGCAAGGAAGATGTTTTTCTGCATGGCAATTAATTATCTTTATAACATTTTATATAAATTATTCTAGGTAGTACTACTGGGAACTACTGTATTACAGCATGGAATAATAATGGCTTTAGGATTTGACAATGTTATTACCTTTGTGTGTTGAAGGCCTTTGAGCCAAATTTTAGGTCAGAATGTTGCAATATTGATTATTTACCCTTTTTTTTTTTCTCAAATCTGTTCTACACCATGTTGCCTTTTTTTTTTTTTTTCCTGAAGTGGTTTGATTAAATTTACATCTCTGGTTATTTGCAATGGCATATAAACTATCAAATTTTATTATTATTTTTTTACTAAGAAACAAAAGAAACCTGTCTCTTTCATCAATTTATGGAATTAGGTTTGGATAAGCCATCTAGTTCAACATCTAGGATAAGTGGGAAACCACAAGAGATGTTGCATTTCATTAAAAAGAGGTATGAATTATTAAGATCAATAATTAGATTATCAAAAACTATGGAAGATTAAATAACTTTGATATGATATTTGGAGTAAATTAAGAAGACCAATTTATTTCTGAGAAATTTCTCATTCTAAAGAATTTTGTGTTTCTTTGAATATAATGCACAGTGACTTTTATTTCAACTCCTAAACTTCTTCAGTGCCTAACATGGTTTTTTATTTTTGTTTTGTTTTAATCAGCCACCAGCAGAATCTCAGTTTGTTAAGGTGGCTTCTCTTAACACAATGTCAGATCTATTCTCAAGGTTAGATCCTCTTGGGTTCCATTCAATGCATCATTTTCACACAGACATAGATATGCTTTCATTCTGAATCTGTAAAGAATTTCTGATGTCATGACGAAAAATAAATCTATAGAATCATAAATAGATTGTATTTACACCAGATTACCTTACATGGCAATTAGTCAATTCAGAATTGCTATGATTTAATGACATTTTGTGTCCAACTTTTTCTGTTGATGTTTAAACTTCAATGCAGAACAAGAAAAATTGAAATAAGAGAGGGAAAAATTTCACTACATAGGTTGAATCTCATTAGTCCTTAATCTTTTGTTCTGATTAGGACAGAGACTCAATCTCTGTTACCAAGATTTAGCCAATATGTAGATATGGATTCTGGAGTAATTAAAGTATTCTCATACTACTCATTGGTTTTTCACTTGAAATAGGTGTTGCTAAAGACAGCTTCATGTCATTGGTGCATACCTTTTTCCATGGGCTTTGTTTTAGCAACTACATCACAAGACTACTTATCTTAAATTACAGTTTGCAATGCTCAATATGTTCTTGTAGTAAGTCTGTTTTGATTGCTTATATCTCAAGTTCTTGACTTTTGAATTTATTATCACTCCTAATATAGATTGGATGGATTACCAAATGCAAAGAGAGATGGGAGTTCCCTTGCTAGTAAACTTATTCAACCCCTTCTGAAGCTGATAAATGAAGATGATTCAGAAGCTGTCTGGGTAATACCATAACCTATTTGATAAACTTGTTTTAATGTATTGCTTTAGCTATTGAAATTCTTTTGAATGAAATCCATGAATTTCATCTGTTTTATTTTTCAATATAATCTATGGAAAATTGTCATTTGACATTTGAGTTGGTCTATATTTTTTTGTCATTGAAGGCCAGCTTGTAAGTCATCTTTTATATGACTTTTTTGAAATGTTCAGGACTAAATTTATATCATATAACAAATTAATATGAGAGGAAGTTTATTCTATATGCTTGTTCTTGAATTTGGCTGGGTTAGGAGACATATGGTATCATTAAGAGTTTTGAAGGGTTTAGAGATATGAGTAATGCTACAGTCACCAGGATTAGTGCACCGAATGACGTGACGAAATCCTGACCGTTGATTAATATTAAGTTATAATTAATCGACGGTCAGGATTTTGCCACGTCATTCGGTGCATAGATTTGGTGCACTACTCCCGGTGTCTCTATTATTTACCTTAGAGATATTTGCCAATGTACACAGTTTATCTCGTTGTTATTGGATATTTTTGACTATATTTTTGTGCAAAATTAAGTGAAGAAGCTTTCTCTGCAATTGCTGTTTGCTGTGTACTTCTTATGTGGTCTAGTTTACTATCTCACAGTTTTACCTATTAATTCTCCTTTGGACAGGAAGGAGCAGTTCATTTGTTATGTACCATATTAACTTACTTTCCAGCTTCTATTCATCGCTATCATGACAATGTAAGTTGCTTATTTTTTGGTTATGTTACATTCAACTATTGTTGCCAAGAAAAGGAATAAGATTTGTACTATTATCCTTAAGAAGAGGAATAAGACTTGTACTATTATACTTCAATCAAATCAATCTCAATCAAACAAATCTTGTCGATTTTTTCTTGATGTATTGCATCTGGGGGTAGCTTAGTTTTACTGTGGCCTTGTGAGACAAAAGAGCCTAGAATTCATCCTTCTACTTGACGTGGACTTGCTTTTCAGAAACAATAGATTTGGATGGCTAGTGTATTTGACATATAATGACAAAAATATCTTATTCGCAGGCCGAAGCTGCCATTGTGTCGAAACTTATTTCAGGAAGCTGCAGTGTCAATATGATGAAGGTAATGTTTGTTTGGTATATTTGTGTTTGGCAGATGACTAAATAAGTGTATGAAGACAGACATGAACCTTTTCTGGATTTAATCCATCTTCTGCTTGATGTTTGATATTCAGAAACTGGCTTATTGTCTAGCATTACTCCCAAAATCAAAAGGAGATGACGATAGCTGGTGCTTGATGATGCAAAAGATCTTGTTATTGATAAATGTACACCTAAATGATTTCTTCCAAGGTTTTGAAGAAGGTACATAGTAATACTTGTTTGGCTGTGCTAGTGCTGGTCTTAATGATTGATTTTCACTTTTCACCAAGCAATATTCAATTTATCGCTAGGTTTATCATAAAACATTGACGTTTTTCTTCGCTGTTATTTTTGGAATATACCTCACGTTTTTGGCACCTGAGTTTCAAATTTCTTATGTAATTTCTTGCATGAATTTTTGGACGTGAAAATTATTACTTTTTGATCTTATTATAATTTCTCACCATTTATGTAAATCAATATTGATATATTTTTCTCTTAGATATATCCATCCAATGCATCTATATTTTGGGATCTTGGTATGTCCCTGATACTTGATGTTTAAGCCTTGTGTAAGGGTAATCAGAGGAAATTCTTTTTTTCCCATCTTGCAGAAACTGAAGGTAGTGAAGCTGTTAGAGCATTGGTTCCACCAGGAAAAGATCCCCCACCTCCCTTAGGAGGTCATACATTGTTAGGCGAGGCCTTAGACAAGGCAACAAAGCAATTGCCAATATCCACTATCTCTCTGCTGATAATATCCTGTTGTATGATGCTTACAAGCCCATATCCTGTTCAGGTAAAGATGTAGAATTTGGTCGTTTATTATTTATATTATTGTCTGCAACATTTTCAGCTAAATCAGAATCAAAAACTTATTTAAGGTACTTTTGATAACTTATATCGTTCTAAACATTTCTTTTTTCTATATTGAAATACTTAAATTTAAGTAGAATCTAACACTGCTTGAAGACGTTGTGTGGTTTGACTCATAGGTGACCGTTCCTATTGTTCCATTATTAGCCCTTGTTCATAGGGTGATCATGGTGGATGGCTCTGTTCCACGTGCTTCATTGCCCTTTATGACTGGAATGCAACAAGAATTTGTTTGTTCAGAACTTCCCCTATTGCACTTGTACAGTTTAGAGTTACTAACTGCAATCATTGAGGGCACACGCAGGTAATCAATATCATGTATCGACAGTTTCTTGTGATTCTCCTTCTTCCCATGCAGTAAGCCAGTCTGTAATCATGTAAACCGATTTCAAGTTTTATTTAGTATAATACTCTGAAAAGCATTTTCCTTGATCAGTTGCCTAATTTATTATAAATTCATAGTTCTCTAAGTTGCTTTATTTTTCTATTTTTCTAGTTGCATGCTGCTTCCACCAGAGGTTAAATTTTGTTTTTCTGATTACTAATTGAATTCAATGGAATTTTATGAACAATGATTTATCATGCTGAGTTTATCTAGGTAAATGCTGTGTATGACATAGGATGTTTTTAACTTTCTTGTATGAAGAATGTTGAGATACTTTCTTTGTGGCAAACTTCTTTGGACTTAACATCAGTAAACTCTTCTGGCCAGGTTGAATCTAGCCAACTTAAGGCTTATTAATTGATATGGCAAGCAATGTTGGACTTATCGCTTGCCATTTGGCTTGGCTTTAGATGTTGGGTGGTGTGACCAAAGACCTCATAAATTATTATTTTATTTCATCTTTACTTCTATATTGTACATCACATTCAAGTCAGATCTATATTTTCCCTTTTATACAAATGAAATCTGTTATGAAACATCCTTTCGTTTTTCGTGCTTGTGCCCATCATTTCCATCTATGTTGTTTTCCATTTTTTGTTTAAGCAGAATGTGAGTCGCAATAAAAATATATTATAACCCATGGATATTGAATTTCATTTACAGTTTTGATCCTTAATCTGCTCAAAGAATTTGGAAGTTCACCCTCTGCCTATTTCCTTGTTTTACTTTTGCAGTCAACTATTACCACATGCTGCCTATATTGTACGACTCGTCAAACAGTATTTTAAAAGATGTGCATTGCCAGAGTTAAGGATAAAGCTCTACTCACTCACAAAATCAATGGTGGTATCTATGGGTGTTGGTATGTCAGAATTTCTTTATGTATTTTGCAACAGTAATTTACTATCTGTAGTCCATGCAGTTTTCTCTAGAACTTTATACTTTTTCAGATTAGTTGAAATTAAATGATGTGTTTATTCAGCTTACTGGATTTGAACAGCGTTATTGTTATTATAGACACTTGTTTGCAGTTGTGTGGAGATGCATAATATTATCATTATCATTTTTTGTTTTCCTCGTGTCTCGTGTTCTACAAAGAGGTTCAGGTCTCTGTTGAAGTATGTGTTTGTCCATATGTGAATGGCCCAATTGTTCATCGTTGATCTTCGAATCTACATATTCTAGTGTCTTCATCTGCATTAGCTTGTGCTATGTGAATGGTTCTGATATGTTGTCCTTTTCATCTTGAGCTTTGCTCGCTAATCTGTCTATCCTAGCTGTTCTATTGAGTTGGTGCTGTTACTAATTTTTTCGTATTCTGATCAGGAATGGCACTATACCTCGGACAGGAAGTAGTCGACAATGCATCTGTTGATTTGAATCCGGTTGGTGATGACAATGGCTTCACAGCTTCTATTCCAAATCCGAAAGCTGCTTCTTTAGCAGTGATGCAATCTAGTCATAGGAAAAGGAAGCACAGTTTCACTGGATCTTTTGAGCAGCAAAATGACAAAATTGGTTTTGAAGTGGAAGCACTGAAAAACCGCCAACAATCTCCGATAGCTCTGAAGATAGCTGCAGTTGAGGCAATAGAAGTTCTTCTAACTGTGGTATGTATACTGCTTACAAGGTTAAGTGAAAAATTTTCTTTTCTTTTTAATTGTTTCTTAATACAAGAATGATGGACTATTTCAAATTTATTGTGTATCACTATTTACAAATGGCGGAACTAGATAATTTAGTACTCATTCTCAAGTGCAAATATCTGCACCTTAAAAGTGTGAAATAATAGGTGAAAATGTTTTCCAGCTTAACAAAATACAAAACTGAAACTGGAAATTGTTAGCCAGCCTTTGTTTTTGCTTGGTCTACGCTTTATGTGGGGATGTGAGAATTTAGATTAAGTCCTCACTTGAAAATTGTGATCCAATTCCTTGTCAAGGACCTAGCATTTAGCTTCATGTTTCTGACCTGTAAAACGAATTTAGTAAAAGAACTCTTTTAAAATTGACAGGGTGGTGGTTTGAGATCAGAGTCCTGGCGACCGGCTGTGGATTTTCTTTTGATTTCCTTAGCAACCGATTGTTGTAAAGAGGGGTGGGACAATGAGGGGAAGGGTACTTCCTCTCCCAGTGGTCCAACCGTCACTTTGGCAGATTTGCAGCTTTCAGCATTGCGTGCACTTTTGGCATCTCTTCTTTCCCCGTCCCGTGGACGTCCCCCATATTTGGCCCGGGCCTTTGAGCTTTTCCGTAGAGGTAATGCTTTTTGGAAATTAACATTTTAAAACTCTGTTCTTTTCATCATCGTGTCCAAAACAATGGCGTTATATAGCAACATTTCTACAAGATAAGAATAACCTTACAAGCAAAACAAGTAGTTTCAGACATGTGATGATGATATACATTTATGAGTATAATAGTTTGATCCATCTCCTTAGTTTTACTACTTTATATCAGTTTTTCTTGTACTTAGTTTGACTTTATGTAATTAGTTTCTGCAGGAAAACAACAAGCTGGAACAAAGCTTGCTGCGTTTTGTGCCCATGCTCTTTTAACCTTGGAGGTGCTTATACATCCTAGGGGCCTTCCAATGGAACGTTTTCCTGCTTCAACTTATAACTCCTTGGATAAAGTTAACAACAGATTCCCAGAAAATGTATACTCAGGTGGTCAGAAGCACAACACTCAGGGTCCTCCTGATTCAGATGATGACGATGACTTGTATCACAAATGGGTAGGTAATGACAATATCGGTGAGGCCTCAGCGCTCAGCCCTAGTAAGAAAACGAAGGACATTCCTTTTGAAACCTGGACAGGAAATCTATCTATGGCTGGTTCATCTGGCACCAAAATTTTAGAGGGAAGCAAGGAGCAACTAGTTATGGGGATGAGAAGCAATGAGGATGAAGTAGTGGTTGAGTCACAGCAATTTCAAGAATCCATTGGGCAGTTTCAGGAACATGTCACTGATGATCTTGAAGGCCCCATGTTGGGAACCAAGAGAACTGTGCCAGATGGTGGTTTAGATAACAAGGAACATGAAGTAGCATCAACTGAGGATTTCTTGACAGATAAGCAAGATGGATTAACTAACGTAGGTGGAAACGTTGCTGGAGCATCATCTTCTGATAAAGGTAAGTCATCTGTATTTGATTTGGACGATGACTCGTCCATGGATTCGTTTCCTGATATCGTAAATGGAGATCCTGATTCTGATGTGGAGGAATTAGGGTGAAATATCAATCAATTTATATGACAGTCTAAAGGAGATGTTATCTGTAAAAGTACAGATATTCCAGTTTTGAGTTTTGATATCATGAAGCCCTTGTCAGCAATTTTTTGTTTAAGCAGAATGGAGTCGCAATAAAAATATATTATAACCATGGATATTGAATTTCATTTACAGTTTTGATCCTTAATCTGCTCAAAGAATTTGGAAGTTCACCTCTGCCTATTTCCTTGTTTTACTTTTGCAGTCAACTATTCCACATGCTGCCTAGTTGGCGACTTGTAAACAGTATTTAAAAGATGGGCATTGCCAGAGTTAAGGATAAAGCTATACTCATCACAAAATCAATGGGGATCCTTAGAGATATTTGCCAATGTACACAGTTTATCTCGTTGTTATTGGATATTTTTGACTATATTTTTGTGCAAAATTAAGTGAAGAAGCTTTCTCTGCAATTGCTGTTTGCTGTGTACTTCTTATGTGGTCTAGTTTACTATCTCACAGTTTTACCTATTAATTCTCCTTTGGACAGGAAGGAGCAGTTCATTTGTTATGTACCATATTAACTTACTTTCCAGCTTCTATTCATCGCTATCATGACAATGTAAGTTGCTTATTTTTTGGTTATGTTACATTCAACTATTGTTGCCAAGAAAAGGAATAAGATTTGTACTATTATCCTTAAGAAGAGGAATAAGACTTGTACTATTATACTTCAATCAAATCAATCTCAATCAAACAAATCTTGTCGATTTTTTCTTGATGTATTGCATCTGGGGGTAGCTTAGTTTTACTGTGGCCTTGTGAGACAAAAGAGCCTAGAATTCATCCTTCTACTTGACGTGGACTTGCTTTTCAGAAACAATAGATTTGGATGGCTAGTGTATTTGACATATAATGACAAAAATATCTTATTCGCAGGCCGAAGCTGCCATTGTGTCGAAACTTATTTCAGGAAGCTGCAGTGTCAATATGATGAAGGTAATGTTTGTTTGGTATATTTGTGTTTGGCAGATGACTAAATAAGTGTATGAAGACAGACATGAACCTTTTCTGGATTTAATCCATCTTCTGCTTGATGTTTGATATTCAGAAACTGGCTTATTGTCTAGCATTACTCCCAAAATCAAAAGGAGATGACGATAGCTGGTGCTTGATGATGCAAAAGATCTTGTTATTGATAAATGTACACCTAAATGATTTCTTCCAAGGTTTTGAAGAAGGTACATAGTAATACTTGTTTGGCTGTGCTAGTGCTGGTCTTAATGATTGATTTTCACTTTTCACCAAGCAATATTCAATTTATCGCTAGGTTTATCATAAAACATTGACGTTTTTCTTCGCTGTTATTTTTGGAATATACCTCACGTTTTTGGCACCTGAGTTTCAAATTTCTTATGTAATTTCTTGCATGAATTTTTGGACGTGAAAATTATTACTTTTTGATCTTATTATAATTTCTCACCATTTATGTAAATCAATATTGATATATTTTTCTCTTAGATATATCTATCCAATGCATCTATATTTTGGGATCTTGGTATGTCCCTGATACTTGATGTTTAAGCCTTGTGTAAGGGTAATCAGAGGAAATTCTTTTTTCCCCATCTTGCAGAAACTAAAGGTAGTGAAGCTGTTAAAGCATTGGTTCCACCAGGAAAAGATTCCCCACCTCCCTTAGGAGGTCATACATTGTTAGGCGAGGCCTTAGACAAGGCAACAAAGCAATTGCCAATATCCACTATCTCTCTGCTGATACTATCCTGTTGTATGATGCTTACAAGCCCATATCCTGTTCAGGTAAAGATGTAGAATTTGGTCGTTTATTATTTATATTATTGTCTGCAACATTTTCAGCTAAATCAGAATCAAAAACTTATTTAAGGTACTTTTGATAACTTATATCGTTCTAAACATTTCTTTTTTCTGTATTGAAATACTTAAATTTAAGTAGAATCTAACACTGCTTGAAGACGTTGTGTGGTTTGACTCATAGGTGACCGTTCCTATTGTTCCATTATTAGCCCTTGTTCATAGGGTGATCATGGTGGATGGCTCTGTTCCACGTGCTTCATTGCCCTTTATGACTGGAATGCAACAAGAATTTGTTTGTTCAGAACTTCCCCTATTGCACTTGTACAGTTTAGAGTTACTAACTGCAATCATTGAGGGCACACGCAGGTAATCAATATCATGTATCGACAGTTTCTTGTGATTCTCCTTCTTCCCATGCAGTAAGCCAGTCTGTAATCATGTAAACCGATTTCAAGTTTTATTTAGTATAATACTCTGAAAAGCATTTTCCTTGATCAGTTGCCTAATTTATTATAAATTCATAGTTCTCTAAGTTGCTTTATTTTTCTATTTTTCTAGTTGCATGCTGCTTCCACCAGAGGTTAAATTTTGTTTTTCTGATTACTAATTGAATTCAATGGAATTTTATGAACAATGATTTATCATGCTGAGTTTATCTAGGTAAATGCTGTGTATGACATAGGATGTTTTTAACTTTCTTGTATGAAGAATGTTGAGATACTTTCTTTGTGGCAAACTTCTTTGGACTTAACATCAGTAAACTCTTCTGGCCAGGTTGAATCTAGCCAACTTAAGGCTTATTAATTGATATGGCAAGCAATGTTGGACTTATCGCTTGCCATTTGGCTTGGCTTTAGATGTTGGGTGGTGTGACCAAAGACCTCATAAATTATTATTTTATTTCATCTTTACTTCTATATTGTACATCACATTCAAGTCAGATCTATATTTTCCCTTTTATACAAATGAAATCTGTTATGAAACATCCTTTCGTTTTTCGTGCTTGTGCCCATCATTTCCATCTATGTTGTTTTCCATTTTTTGTTTAAGCAGAATGTGAGTCGCAATAAAAATATATTATAACCCATGGATATTGAATTTCATTTACAGTTTTGATCCTTAATCTGCTCAAAGAATTTGGAAGTTCACCCTCTGCCTATTTCCTTGTTTTACTTTTGCAGTCAACTATTACCACATGCTGCCTATATTGTACGACTCGTCAAACAGTATTTTAAAAGATGTGCATTGCCAGAGTTAAGGATAAAGCTCTACTCACTCACAAAATCAATGGTGGTATCTATGGGTGTTGGTATGTCAGAATTTCTTTATGTATTTTGCAACAGTAATTTACTATCTGTAGTCCATGCAGTTTTCTCTAGAACTTTATACTTTTTCAGATTAGTTGAAATTAAATGATGTGTTTATTCAGCTTACTGGATTTGAACAGCGTTATTGTTATTATAGACACTTGTTTGCAGTTGTGTGGAGATGCATAATATTATCATTATCATTTTTTGTTTTCCTCGTGTCTCGTGTTCTACAAAGAGGTTCAGGTCTCTGTTGAAGTATGTGTTTGTCCATATGTGAATGGCCCAATTGTTCATCGTTGATCTTCGAATCTACATATTCTAGTGTCTTCATCTGCATTAGCTTGTGCTATGTGAATGGTTCTGATATGTTGTCCTTTTCATCTTGAGCTTTGCTCGCTAATCTGTCTATCCTAGCTGTTCTATTGAGTTGGTGCTGTTACTAATTTTTTCGTATTCTGATCAGGAATGGCACTATACCTCGGACAGGAAGTAGTCGACAATGCATCTGTTGATTTGAATCCGGTTGGTGATGACAATGGCTTCACAGCTTCTATTCCAAATCCGAAAGCTGCTTCTTTAGCAGTGATGCAATCTAGTCATAGGAAAAGGAAGCACAGTTTCACTGGATCTTTTGAGCAGCAAAATGACAAAATTGGTTTTGAAGTGGAAGCACTGAAAAACCGCCAACAATCTCCGATAGCTCTGAAGATAGCTGCAGTTGAGGCAATAGAAGTTCTTCTAACTGTGGTATGTATACTGCTTACAAGGTTAAGTGAAAAATTTTCTTTTCTTTTTAATTGTTTCTTAATACAAGAATGATGGACTATTTCAAATTTATTGTGTATCACTATTTACAAATGGCGGAACTAGATAATTTAGTACTCATTCTCAAGTGCAAATATCTGCACCTTAAAAGTGTGAAATAATAGGTGAAAATGTTTTCCAGCTTAACAAAATACAAAACTGAAACTGGAAATTGTTAGCCAGCCTTTGTTTTTGCTTGGTCTACGCTTTATGTGGGGATGTGAGAATTTAGATTAAGTCCTCACTTGAAAATTGTGATCCAATTCCTTGTCAAGGACCTAGCATTTAGCTTCATGTTTCTGACCTGTAAAACGAATTTAGTAAAAGAACTCTTTTAAAATTGACAGGGTGGTGGTTTGAGATCAGAGTCCTGGCGACCGGCTGTGGATTTTCTTTTGATTTCCTTAGCAACCGATTGTTGTAAAGAGGGGTGGGACAATGAGGGGAAGGGTACTTCCTCTCCCAGTGGTCCAACCGTCACTTTGGCAGATTTGCAGCTTTCAGCATTGCGTGCACTTTTGGCATCTCTTCTTTCCCCGTCCCGTGGACGTCCCCCATATTTGGCCCGGGCCTTTGAGCTTTTCCGTAGAGGTAATGCTTTTTGGAAATTAACATTTTAAAACTCTGTTCTTTTCATCATCGTGTCCAAAACAATGGCGTTATATAGCAACATTTCTACAAGATAAGAATAACCTTACAAGCAAAACAAGTAGTTTCAGACATGTGATGATGATATACATTTATGAGTATAATAGTTTGATCCATCTCCTTAGTTTTACTACTTTATATCAGTTTTTCTTGTACTTAGTTTGACTTTATGTAATTAGTTTCTGCAGGAAAACAACAAGCTGGAACAAAGCTTGCTGCGTTTTGTGCCCATGCTCTTTTAACCTTGGAGGTGCTTATACATCCTAGGGGCCTTCCAATGGAACGTTTTCCTGCTTCAACTTATAACTCCTTGGATAAAGTTAACAACAGATTCCCAGAAAATGTATACTCAGGTGGTCAGAAGCACAACACTCAGGGTCCTCCTGATTCAGATGATGACGATGACTTGTATCACAAATGGGTAGGTAATGACAATATCGGTGAGGCCTCAGCGCTCAGCCCTAGTAAGAAAACGAAGGACATTCCTTTTGAAACCTGGACAGGAAATCTATCTATGGCTGGTTCATCTGGCACCAAAATTTTAGAGGGAAGCAAGGAGCAACTAGTTATGGGGATGAGAAGCAATGAGGATGAAGTAGTGGTTGAGTCACAGCAATTTCAAGAATCCATTGGGCAGTTTCAGGAACATGTCACTGATGATCTTGAAGGCCCCATGTTGGGAACCAAGAGAACTGTGCCAGATGGTGGTTTAGATAACAAGGAACATGAAGTAGCATCAACTGAGGATTTCTTGACAGATAAGCAAGATGGATTAACTAACGTAGGTGGAAAAGTTGCTGGAGCATCATCTTCTGATAAAGGTAAGTCATCTGTATTTGATTTGGACTATGACTCGTCCATGGATTCGTTTCCTGATATCGTAAATGGAGATCCTGATTCTGATGTGGAGGAATTAGGATGAAATATCAATCAATTTATATGACAGTCTAAAGGAGATGTTATCTGTAAAAGTACAGATATTCCAGTTTTGAGTTTTGATATCATGAAGCCCTTGTCAGCAAAAGTCTATTTATTTATTTTTAAATTTAATTTAATTAATTTTTTTTTTTAAATCTTTATAATATATTGTGTCTCATATGTAATTAACATTTGAAGTGGGTCTATGCTTAATTCAGGACAAGTTTGAAGTTTACCTGCAAAAAGAAAAAATGCCAATAGGTTTTCCAAACTTCTCTTAGAAAATTTGATGCTTATATATCTAATTCCACCTCATAATGCCTTAACACTATTATTCTCAGTTCCACTATATTGACCAGTTTCATTTTGTAACCAAAAACTAAGATTAATTTTTCGATAATTATTAAAAAATAAATTATATATGAAAAAGAAAGAATAAAACACTTGAAACTCATTTATGAATGATTTTCATTAAAACTCATTTATAAAGAATTAAAAGGTAAAAGTTTAATGAATTTAGAAAAAGCTGTAAAATATGCATCACAATTATGTTGAATTATCCCACAAAGTTCTCTATTTCAATTCCATTTTTGAAATACTAAATTAATAGATAATTGATTGATTTAACTGTCAACTACCAACAAATTCTATCATAATAATTATAGCATTAATTAATTTTTAATTGAATTTAGTAATAATAAATAAATATTTCATTTTTGGTTTGTGTCTTTCAAATGATAAGATATGGTAGAGGCATAGAATAGGAAAGGCCTCTTAAATTATAATAAAAGTTGATTGAATTTGAATCCATACCCACCAACTGCTTGGTTAAATGTCACTGAGAGCAGCTTGACTTGAGTAGTTGAGTGTCCATTTGTGTTGAGAATCACATGCCTTCACTTGTTTTTAATTAATTTGTGCTTTCATTTGGAGTTATGATGCTTGTGTTGCCTAAATCTCATCAATAATATTATTCTTTCTTTGGCCTTATTCATTACTCCAACTTTCAGCATCAAAATAAAATTCAATTTCATACTTGCCAAACATTAGCATCTTCATTATCAATATAATATAACTTAGGAGTGATCAGTTCTGGGTATCCTATATTTTTTGAGAAATTGGAACCGGAATCGGAACTGTAATCGGAATCGACCGATTCCTAAGATTTGGAATCGGAATCAAAACCTGAAACATAGGTTCTGATTCCAGTTCCTAGTACCCATATCAATTTCAATTACCCCTAACTTCTTAAAAATGACAAATACACCCCCCAAACAAATTACAAATACATACAAAAACTACAATTCAATCTTGATTTCTACTCGGGTATCCGGACCTCGGTTCCGGTTCTAGTTCCCGATTCCAGCATTGCAGGAATTGGAACTGGACCCAGAAATTTTCGGTTCTAATTTTTCAGAACCGGAACCAGACCCTAATGGGGTCGATTTTGGTTGGTATCCACCGTTTTTGATTCTACCCTTTACCCATGCTCACAGCTCACCCCAAAATTATAACCCTTTCATTTAACATAATTTTTGAAGATTTGTTTTATTTTTTATTTTTTTGGGATTATTGATTCATCTCCACTCAAATATCACATGGACATTAAGAAGGTAGAGTTAGGAATGTGAAGTAAAACTTTTAACATTATTTTATTTTTCATTTTATTCTTATAAAACATGTTTAGCTTATTATAATCCTTCAAAGAAATTTGAAAGCCTAACCTTAACCCACACAACTAATGCAATCATAACTAATTTTAAAACTAAAAAACCTTTGCACATTCGAAAAACCTTTATTAAAATATATTATATTTTATATAATAACAAATATTAGAAATTGAGGTCAAATTCATTGAATTTTATGACGATAAAATAACAATATATCGTCACGATTTATCGGAGACCAAGAAAATCGGCATACCATAATTGACAATGACCAGACCCGCTAGTACGAGAAATTAATACTTACGCCGAGACAGTGAAAGTGGGACCAACATGAACTGAGGGAGAGCTTTGCCACCATTGTCTCTTCTTCAACTTCTTCTTATTTAAACTTCCACCTTCCATGTGCCCTTTCAGATCTTTCACCACCAACACTGACCCTTTAACATCATCAGTGTAGTTTGTGTTTTGCTAGGTTTCTTTCTCCGTTGATTTCAATGGCGGATTCCAAGAAATGGGTCGTGATGGCCACCGCTCAAACACCCACCAACATAGCCGTTATCAAGTATTGGGGCAAGAGAGACGAAACCCTCATTTTGCCCGTTAATGATAGTATCAGTGTCACGCTTGATCCCAGTCACCTCTGTACCACCACTACAGTTGCTGTGAGTCCCGGTTTTGAGCAGGATCGGATGTGGCTCAATGGAAAGGTGGGATTTTATCTCGGTTTAGTGTTTTTTATTTTATTTTATTTTATTTTTTAATGAAAGTTCGTTACTTTGATTCTGATTTGTGTTGAGAATGAATGTTATATGAGGAAAATTTTTGTGGGTATTTTGTATAATTTGATTTTAATGCAGTTTTGTTTTGTGATTTTGAGAAAAGAGCTAATATTTTTGAAAATAAAAAAGTTTTAATCCAAGGGTTGATGAAAAGGTAAAAATCCCAGTTCAGAACTCGGTAAACTTATCTGAAAGGTGGTTGAAATTCTGATTTCTGGAAATACATAGAGAAAAAAACTGTTTTTTGGTTGGTGAAATCAGTCATAGTAAAGAGTGTGACGTGATCTTTTGATGTCAATTATTTTGTTGCTTTATTGTGACAAAAAGGAATAGCAAAAAAGTTTAGTTGGTTTTTTAATGTTTGGTTGAGATCACATCATGGATGTTGATTTTTATTCTTCTAAAGGTTATGATCCTTTTGGGGGTAGTACTGATTCATGGCGCTTTTTGTTTTTGCTGGTTAGTGTAGGAAATTTCTCTTTCTGGAGGGAGATTTCAAAGTTGTTTGAGGGAAATTCGTAGTCGGGCATGTGATGTCGAGGATAAGGAAAAAGGTATCAAGATAGAGAAGAAGGATTGGGAAAAACTGCATGTGCATATCGCTTCATATAACAATTTCCCTACTGCTGCTGGATTGGCTTCCTCTGCGGCTGGTCTTGCTTGTCTTGGTAATGTACAAGTTTATCTATTCTTTTCTCTTTCTTTTATTATTTTTTTTATGGGGTTGCTACGCTTATATTTTGAAAGTTCATTGGTGGAAGATCGATGATGACTGTATGTATGTGTGGAATTCTTTTTCGTCCTGCTATTGGCAACCTACTGATCAATTATATAAGCTTTGGAATTATTTCTTATTTTTTTATTGAAACACAAGCAATTTAGCATGACTTTATTTGATTATTTTGCAGTTTTTTCCCTTGCTAAGCTGATGAATTTGAAAGAAAATCCGAGCCAGCTTTCTGCTATAGCCAGGTATGCCTTATTTGGTTTTTATATAGTTACACACACACACACAGAATTTCAAGCTTCGCTGCGTGATATTCTTGGTGGTATATCAATTTAATTTGTCTAGGACCTTCTTATAAAAGGATTATAATATACTTTTACTTCACGTTCTTTGTGTCCTCATGTAGGCAAGGTTCAGGCAGTGCTTGTCGTAGTCTGTTCGGTGGATTCGTCAAGTGGATTATGGGCAAAGTAAGATTAATATTGAGATTCATCTTGGTTTATCTGCTGAGAAATATTTATTTTGAGCAATTAGTTCTGAAGTTTCTAAATATGTGAAGGATGAAAATGGAAGTGACAGCCTTGCAGTTCAACTTGTAGAAGAGGAGCACTGGAATGAGCTTGTTATTATTATTGCTGTGGTATGCACTTACGTTAATTTTCCATGTGGCATTGTATCATTTGAATATTTTTACTGGTTTCTTTGGACACTTATGTTTCCTGGAAAATATGCGTAGCCAATATTTGGTCTCAGTAGTTTTGGTTTGTCTCTGCACCTCTATAAATTGCTTTTTTTCATTTGGTTTGCATCCTATCTTGTTTTATGAGAGTACTAGTAGTCAGCTAAAGTTTTTGAAAGTTGAATTTTCTTCTGTTTATAGGCATTCCCATGTGCATCTTTTTGACTGTCAGCGATTACCTTGAATGCAAGTCTTAGGTTATTGTCAATGGTTTTCTAAGATTTTCATCTGGAAGACTTATCCATCTATCTTAATGCTGTATTTTTGGCCTATCTATTTGTCCTTTTCCTAAATGGGAGTCCTTTTTTTTCTTTTTTCTTTTTAAGTTGGAGTTGTTATTTTTTCCATGGACTGCTATTTTATATAAAAATGACCACTCTGTTTTATGTATTCCTTTTTCCATTTCAAGTATCCATTGGGACATTTGTGGTTAACTGTCTTTCTGAAATGAACTATTACTATTTGAATATGAAGTACTTAGTTTCTTATCTCGAGAAAGGAAAAAAGAAAGAATATGAAGTATCATATTGCTTCAATAAGTTAACGAGATTATATAAGTTTGAAAATATCAAATTGGTTGCAAAATGAACCTCAGATTATAAGCAGATGGTTTCATTAATATCTGGAAGCAAGTATACAGATGATAAGTAGATGGTCTCATGTTATGACTTTTCTGTGCCCAACTGATTTTGTAAAAATATATATATTTTTTTCTTAATATAAGGTGAGTGCACGGCAGAAGGAAACAAGTAGCACCTCAGGAATGCGCGAGAGTGTTGAAACAAGTTTGCTGTTACAGCATAGAGCAAAGGTGCATTTTGGTTTTCACTATCTAATTGTCGTCTACCATTTTTATTATTGAATGACATCTTGAAGTCATACACAGTTTTACAACTGAGCTACCTAGCAATTACTCTACATGATAATATATTGAAATTCTCATGGTATCTTGTCTTTTTGAGATAATTTACCTTGAATATAAATAGTTCTGTTTGTTATAATTTCCCGATCTCTTGCTTTAAGGCCATTTACTTTTTAACTTCCATTATTTGTCAAAATTTTGAGATTCTACAAGAGATTTAACATTTTCTTCATGTATTGAACTGTAATAGGAAATTGTACCGAAACGCATAGTAAAAATGGAAGAGGCCATAAAAAATCGCGATTTTTCATCTTTTGCACAGTTGACCTGTGCTGATAGTAATCAGTTTCATGCTGTTTGCTTGGATACAAGTCCCCCTATTTTCTACATGAATGACACATCCCACAGGTAAGTCCTTTATTTTGTTTAGTTTCCTTTTTTCGTATGCATCACCAATTACAGGAGCTTGATATTTATATGGAAACTTGTTTCAGGATCATTAGCTATGTTGAAAAATGGAACCGTTCAGAAGGATCACCTCAGGTTTGTTTATTTTTGCAACCTTAAAATACCATATTAACCTGCTTGTTAAGGATGTATCAACTATTGATGTCCTGGTGTAAATTGGGCCGAGTCTAGTTGTCATGAGTAATTATGTTGACCTGATAATTTTTTTACCATTTAACAACAGTTTGTTTCTACCATAAATATAATTATTATATAGAAAATCAAGCACTATAGATTTTTCTTTTATGTTCTAAATTTTTATGCCGCTCATCGGGTCATATGCCTAATATAAAAAATTTGATAGGTGGCTTATACTTTCGATGCTGGGCCGAATGCAGTTCTGATTGCAAGAAATAGACAGGTTGCAGCCCAATTGCTCCAGAGGCTGCTTTTCTTCTTCCCTCCAAATTCAGATACAGACCTGAACAGGTAATTTTTTTTTTTTTTTTTCTGAGCATCATCCCCGTAAATGAGTATTTAAGTTTTAATTTCTTCTAATTTTTTGGTCTTCGTTTTCAGTTATGTGCTAGGTGATAAGTCAATTCTACATGATGCCGGCATTGGGGATCTGAAGGATGTGGAAGCATTGCAATGCCCGCCAGAAATAACTAATGTACCGGCCCAGAAATACACAGGCGAAATCAATAACTTTATCTGCACAAAACCTGGAAGAGGTCCCGTTTTGCTTTCTGATGAAAGCAAGGCTCTTCTCAACCTTGAAACTGGGCTGCCAAAGTGAGCTTGGGAGTAGATTATTCTTTCATGCTTTATCTGTTCTCTTCTTGGCCGAATCAGATATAGCTATGAACCAGAAACACATAATTGAAATGCAATTTGCAATGTACCAGAGATTACTGCAAAGTGATTCTCTGAATTTTCATCGCGAATTTGAAGTTGCTGCTGCTGCTGCTGTTGCTTGTAGTTTAATTTATTATTTTTCCTCTTTAATTTATTTGAGGTTCATGTCCTCTTCTTTGACACAAATAATGAATAAATCTTTCAGCATTAATATTTTCTTGTTCTCTGTTTCTGTACATTTTCTTCCAAACATGTTTTTTGAAATTTAGTTTGTTGAGAAGTGAATTGGATAAACTCATCAGATAAGGTTGAAATAACCTTTAAAAGTTATGTTATTTCAAATAAAAAGGTGTTATAAAACCAATTATGGATACAATATAAACAGCAATCAAACTCTCAAAATATTAAATAAATTGAAAGCTCTTATTTTACTAAATTTTTAATACAATCATCGTAATATATTTCGAAACAGAGAAATTTCAGTATGTTACATGAAGCAATGTGAAATTTCAGTATGTTACATGAAGCAATGTGATCGTAATATAATATATTTAAAGAATTGAAAACTCCTATTTAAAGACCGTTTATTTGCAACATTCAGGATGTAGTTCTTTCGGTTTAACTGGTTTGACCGTCCGGTCAAACTAGGTGACAAAACTTTTAAAATTTAACAAATACATCCTTAAATTTTTTTAAATCCCTATAAGTTTGAAATTTAGCAAATACACCCTAAATACAAATCAACTGGCGACTGGTTGGCAGCAACGACACCCCAAATGCAATTCCAATCGTCGCTTGAGTCTATTCCCCTGAAAATCTACCCAAGATTTGGTTCGATTTCAGCTATATCTCACTGATGTCGGTGTCAGCATTCTAGACCAGATTTCACCGACTTCGACTTCGACATCGACAACTCTCCCCATCACCCTGAAAATACTCCTCTCTTCCTTCCAACCAAAACCCACCTTACCCCACCCTCGTTAGCCTCGCCAACGCCAATCGCCAACAAAAACTGGTTGTTGCTGTAGCCAGTTTTTTTCGATTTCTGGTAGATTCTCTCACCGAAAATCAAGTCTGTGCCACCATTGCACTCACCAGCCATTTCTCTTCAAAAGCCCTAACATCCCGGTCTTCAATTGTTCGCTGATCATCATCTCAAATTCTAGGTTTTTGGGCAAGGGCGGATCCAGCCCACTTTTGGGTGGGCCATGACCCACCCTCAATTTTATTTAAAAAAATACTAATGTATATATAATTTATGGATTTTGGCTCACCCTAACAAAAATATTAATGTGTAATTAGTTTTTATTTTGGCCTACCTTAACAAAAATTTTTGGATCCGCTACTGGTTTTGGGTGAATAGGAAAAATGTTAACCCGGCCCAATGAAGCTCTCGGGTCCCAGTTAAACCAGTTGGGCCGGGTTTTAAAACGGTACTTTAAATATAATAATATTACATTCACATTGCTTCACGTAACAGTTTTAATTCCTACTGAGATAGTTGTTTATTTCTTAAATGATAATTTTGAAAGTTTTATATTGCTGGAAGATTGTGGATGACTTAATCTATGTTTGGAATTCTGTTTAGTCCTGCTGTTGGCAATCTGTTGATATTGATTTATAAGCTTTGATATGATTATCTCTTTTTACGGTATAATTTTTAATATTTGTATTGCAACAGAATTCATCTGCTTGCAATGTTTTCCCTTGCAAGTCTGATGAATTTGAAAGATGATCCTACACAATTTTCTGGTAATTATGAATTCTTCGTATAGGCGAGGTTCGAGCAGTAAGATTAATTTTTGTTGCGATATGTTGCTCGTTTTCCTAGTAATTCTCATGTAAAATTGTATGTTTTTAGCAAAATTATTTAATAATCAAATACAATTGTAAATAAGAATAAAATTACGAGAGTCGTATTAGAATTTAAATATGAATCCTATTAAAAATAAAATGTCTCATATACTATTTATAGGGGTGAAAACTAATTCAAGTTTTCAAAATTCTTCCACCTTCTGAGATTGTTTAATGTATAAGGTCTTATTTTATGTTTTAAATCAAATCTGATTTATGTTGAATTTAATTTGCAATCAAGAAAAGATGCTAACAAGATTCAATCAATTACAAATCAAGATCCAGATGAAATAACATGGATTCAACACAAGATCAGATTATGAAACACAGGATTAAATTTGAAGAACCCTAATGACTTGAACTAAACTGAATCTAAAGCCTAATTTGGTGCGTGAATTGATCAAGATAGACCCCAAGATGTTCAAATAACCAAGAAATCACATCAAATTCAATAGTATGATGATCAATTTATTCAAGATATTCAACAAGACTCAACCAAGATAAATTGAATACGACGAAACAAGAATAAAGACTCGAAAGAAACAAAAGAAAAAAAAAAAAAAAACAAAGAATATGATTTGAACCTTGCTCTGATATCAACTGAAACGAACTCCTTCGATTTGCGAAGAAACTTGCCGATCAAGAATGTAAAGATCTATGAACAATCAGAATTCGAAAAACCACGACCCGAAACGAATCTATTGTCAGAACCTTGGTATAGATAATCTGAAATGCCACAATCTTGATTTAGATTGATAAGTTTCGTGGAAGAACGCCACACTATTCTCTTCCTCGATCATAAGTTACTAAAACCTCTCAAACCTTCCTCCTACCAATCTTGTCAATCGCGGACAATCGAACGATTTGTGGAACGTACAACCTCCCCTCCCAAGTCAGATTTTGATCAATCATGATCATCAAAATCCAACTTATCATCACCAAAAGACTTAATGGCATCCTCTGTTCAAAAACTCTAATAACCTAGACCGAATTTGCTCTCTATTTACAAAAAGTCGTTTACGCTTAAAAATAAATAATAAACTAACAAATTTAACAATGAGATTTAACTTTACAGAAAAAGATAACCTATAAATTATTACATCATCATTCAAAATTGCCCAAGAACTGATCCCTCTCATCAATCTTCACACAACTATGCAACTCCTTAACTACAGTGTCAATCTCACAAGCCTGTGGATGTGACTTGTCTCCAGCAACAAATTTACAAGCCTTGTTATCAACATGCACCAAGCTATAACCACCAATAACCCTTACACCTCTTCCCTTTGCTAACCATCTCATTCTTGCAGCATCAACCCACAATCCACCTGCTGCATACATGCTTGATGCTAGCAAATACCCAGCTGAGTTTAGAGGTTCCATTTCAAGAATGTGAGCGACAGCTACTGCTCCAAGCTCTCTGTTTCCGTAGCTTCTACATGCACTCAAGATTGCCCCCCATGCACTTGCTCCTGCCTTCAAAGTTTCGGGCATTTTGTTGATGAATTCCATGGCGATGTTAAGTTTTCCTGCTCGAGCCAGCATGTCGACTATGCAGGAATAATGTTCCGACTCAGGCTCAACCCCATGATCTTGAACCATTGATTTGAAAAAGGCAAGCCCCTCTTCGAGTAAACCGCCATGGCTACATGCTGATAAAACTGAGAGAGTTGACACTGAGTTGGGTTTCAAGCCATGCAATTTCATTTCAGTGATTAAGGACAATGCTTCATGAGAAAGGCCATTCATACCGTAAGCTGCTACCATGGCACTCCATGACACAATGTTTTTATGGGAAATTTGATCAAAGGCCTTTCTTGAGGCTTCAATGGCTCCACATTTCGAGTACATATCAACGAATGCAGTCCCCACGGCTACTTCTGCTGCCAAGCCTCTGCGAATTGCAAATCCATGAGCCCACTTTGACCTCCTCAGTTCAGCTGTAACTGAGCAAGCTTCAAGCAGATTTATAATGGTGACTGCATTGGGCTTCTCTTGTGTCTGGTTCATCTCTTGGAAGACAGAGATTGCTTCATCAGGCATACCACAATGGGTGAACCCAGCGATCATTGTACTCCATGACACCACATCCCTTCTCTTCATGGCACTAAAAAGTTCCCAAGCAACCTCAATAACATAACACTTTGCATAAGCATCAACCAGAGAATTTAAGACCGCTGCATTTGATTCATATGCCATCCGAAGTATTACACAGTGAACTGACTTGCATTCAATTGGGCGGAAAAAATACTTGCACACCTGAAGAATATTCACAAGAGTGATCTCATCTACCACATTTTCTTCCGTCCCCATTGAATAAATCAGTGACAGAGCTTCTGAATACTTCGCATTGAGCACAAATCCAGATAAGATAGAATTCCATGATACATTGTTCTTTCTATGCATCTCATTGAAAACTTTGAAAGCAGAATCAGTATCTTCACACTTGGAATACATATCAATCAATGAGTTTCCAACAAATAAATCACAATCTAAACCTCTACAGACCACCAATCCATGGACCATTCTTCCCACAATCAAGTTCTTCGAATTTGCACAACCTTTAAGAACACTAACCGCAGTTACTCCATCCGGTTCAATCCTTGAATCTAAAACCATTTTTTGAAACAATTGCAAGCCAGAAGAGGCATCCTTACTTAGCACATAACCCACAATCACCACACTCCAGGAAATAACATCTTTCTCAGAAATTTCATCAAACAATCTTCGCGCACACACCATGTCAACATCTACGTACATTCTCAACAAAGAATTTTAGACTGAATGAATAGCCCAAAACCCACTTCGAATCAAATAACCATGAACTTCTAGTCCTTCACAGTAAGCTCCAAGAGTACGACATGCTTGAATTACAAGCACCAATATGGAAGTATTGGGTTCAAACCCAGCAATCCTTGCTTTATAAAACCACCATAATCCTTCTCCTAGACCACCCCGATCAAGGTGCCCATGTATCATTATATTCCAAGAAACTGAGTCTCTACGACTCATGCAACCAAATACAGTCCTTGCAGACTCCATGAATCTACATTTCATGTAGAAGTCCATAAGGGCATTCCCAATGGAAGTAAAGGATGCAAATCCTTGCTTGATCAAACATGCATGAAGGGATTTTCCATGGATACGGGAGAGATTTGAACAAGCCTTGAGAATAAGAGGAAACACTGAAGGGTCTGTTAGTTCAACTCCAGCGTGTTTCATTTCATAAAATTGGTAAAACGCTTCTTGCCACTTTCCATTAGAAGTTAACTCTTTGATACTGAAGCTCCAACTGTGGAGCTTTGGGCGCAAGAGACTGGTAGAGAAGCGCATTGTCAAGAAACATAATTGGTTTTGGTATGCTTTTATCCCATTTGGCAGTCACATAAAAAATTTAAATCACACAAAATAAATATTTTAAAAAATAAACAATCTACACATTTCCTTTCTCAAAATCAAATGACAGTTTCTGTAAGGGCTACAAGGTACTTTAATCCTCCTGTTTCTTCTATTTTTTTTCTTTTCTTTTTCTATTTTCTCCTACACAATTGTGTCTGTGTGTGTAATGAGGAGAGAAGAAAGAATAGACTATTCTCTGAAGTTACAAATTTTAAGATAATAATTATCAAACATTACATATTTAGACCAGAAAGACTTATACTTAGTGACTGCTAAATCCAACCAAGGTTTGTAGTTTCCATTGTAATGGACCACAGCCCCGTTCTCTATCTCAGTAAGGTTAAGAGCTGGGTCATAGCCAAGTCCCAAAACATGCCAGTTCCTGTCCAGTGGATAGGTGAGGTTGTAGAAGGTGATCAGTCCAGGCGGCAATGAACCAAGTTTCCAAAGTGTTCTATCCTCATTCTGCAAAACATGGAAAAAAATAAATTAGAAGCTGGAAGTTGAAGGTATTTTTTTCTTCAGGAAGCTGTAAGGAGGAAATGTTAGTTGAACTATTCTCTGGATTTTCTATTCATAAAAAAGAAATAAAACAGTACACTGATGACGATCAAATTCACAAGAAAATACATGAAAGAAGAAAAGAGACAGTAAAGCTTTACCAGATCTTGCCAGTAATGATATATTCCAGTGATGTTTCGCTTCTTCCACTCCTTTAAGTCGAACATATTCATGCCAAACGCCCAACCACAAGCATTTGCGTCAAAATTCTCAAGAATTTTTGGATTAGAGAAGTTGAGATACTTATCAAATCTGTGGAAACTCTCCTTACAGGTCTCCACTGCGCCATTCACCATACCATGCAGATCAATGGACCAAAGAGGTGTTAAATCCTTCTGTACCACAATATCATCATCCAAAAATAGGATCTTGTCTAGCTTAGGGTAAACTTCGGGAAGGTAAAATCTAAGATGATTCAGCATTGACAAGTACTTTGGATTCCTGTATTTCAGATTGTCGAGCCCAGCAGACAGCGAGGAAGGGTGATTTGCCTTGAAATAGTACTCTTTAAGTCTGGCCGATTCAAGTTGACGGAGAACAGAACAGTAAGACGAATTCAGCCACTTGAAATCATCAATATTCTCAACTTGGATTGTAGCTTTTGCTGGAGCATTGACAAGAAACCACATTTTCATTGCTGCGAAATTAAGCTTATCTGTAACTACATGAAAAACATGTTTCTCAGGTACCCTTGCATGCAGCACAGTAGAATTAACCACCACAGACGTAGCAAGTACGTTGTCAGAAAAGATGGCATAATGATAGAGAGATGGATCTTCAAATTTTTCATTCTTCAGATCCTCTTTCTTATGATGACCCTGCATGAAATAATCTGCTGCTAGCTGCAGAGGTAGGCAGTGCAATGGTCTTGGGACAATTTTTGCAGCCAGCTGAATCAAAAAGGAGCTTTTTTTCTTCAGTGCACTAACAGTATCTTCAGTTGATTGAATCATGGTTCGTAATTTTCTTTGCACAGTAGGGCAGTCATATAATCGGTCCTTTGCTACAGAAAGAACATGGCCCATAGTTTTTGCTCGATCAAGTGCACTGGAAAAAAAAAAAAAAAAAAAAAAAAAAAAGAATAATCTGCATGAAAAACCAAGTATATATGCCTGACAAACACAATAGAGGACAAAAAGTAAGAATACCTTGGGTGAAGCTCCGCATCAGAAGTTGCATCTCCAATAGCATGTTGACTTTCACTACAGTGTTGCATAAGAGATTTGTAAAGGCTACTTTCATTATTAGCCAAGGCTACGTGTGCATAAGCTTTGGCCAAAATGATTTGGTCCCGCATTAGTTTCAATGTAGAATCAGAATTTGGACTTTCAAAATCTCTCCTCCATATACTGTACTTCATGACACCAGGTTCAAGGCTTCTAGACAGTTCAAATGCTGTTGCTTGAATCTTGTCATCATTTTCTTTATCTTCTTGAATCAGCTGTGCCGTGCGGAGTTCCCTCCTTTCCTGCCGCAAAATCTGAACAGAAAGGAATGGTCAAGAATCCAATCGACTCCCCATAATTTATGTGGTAACATAGATAGATGCACTTGATTTTTCACCTGGCGCTTGAGCTTCACTGGGCTCATTGGTGTCATTCTACGATATCCAAAGTCTTTAGAGTGATTATTTCCCATAGCCTGGTCAACATTCTCTTGTAATCTCACACTATCTTCAGATGAACCTCCCTCCATCTAAAGGTGCAAAGAATAGACCAAAAAATTACACATCAGCGCTCTACCTCAAAAATAACTCAAATGTGGCACTAAACCATATCAGATCAAGAGATTCCAGTTGAAGATAATGTAGTATTTTTCTCATATGTCAGCCTCCAAATTTGTGAGATCATTTTAAACTCAATATCTGGAATTTTTTCCTGATAATGATTGTTTTACTGAATACTAAAATCAGTAAATTAGTACCTGTGAACTAATTGGCAAGTCATGATCTCCATCACTAGGGCTTTCCAAAATCCATGAGGCAGAAAGGTGACTCTTTTTCACTCTGCCAATCCGAACTGCACCGGAAACATCACTGTATGTAGCAATTATGTCAATATCCTGCACAAATAGAGAAGAAACATAAGTCACATTGATTTTCTGTACAATTAAAATCAGCTCTCAGGTGAAACCGTTTTTTTCAGATTACCTCTTCACCTCGATCATTGTTGAATCTGGCCATTGAAGTACCCTGCTCAGTAAGCATTTTAAAATATCATCATGAAGCGCAAATTAAAACATACATTCAGCTTCAAAAAGTAAAGATAATTCTATCAAATTGTGTAATTAAACTCAGAGATAAACAGACAAGATTTAACCTTATCATACCAGGGCCGATCTGCTTTGAGTTCTCTTCGACTGAAAAAACATAAAAAACCGGAATTCGCATAAATTAATAAAAACCACAACAAATAAAATAAATATTAAATGTAATACGCTTTATTACTGAACTTACATCGTTCGAATATCTGATACCTCTGCATTGACATAATTACTATTAAATATGACCTGTAAACGAAGAAACAGACTCAAAATTAAGAAGTCTAGATTTTCTAATTACGAAGCAAATTAAAGTTCAATTGACGATTGATCTATCACTGACAGTGCAGAGAAGCAGAGTAAAGATGCTGTTTGTTTGAAACTGTGATTGAGGCGTACCAGTGAGATAGAGATGAGAAGCACAGGATCGAATCTCCAGAGCAGTCTTATGTAACGACGAGCTTCCATGGGAGTCAAAAGAGGAAGAACCAAAACGACGACAGATTTTCTACTGAAGGTGCTTTTACGCTAGGGAACTGGCTACAATACGCTGCATGTGCGCAGGATAAGAAAGAGGGTAGCTGTAAACGGTACGGTTTTCTCCGGCGGCCGAAGCCTGGTCCGTTAAGTACGGACTTGGGTATCCTTTTTTTAACTTTATACAAGCCCCATATTAAGCCCAGTTTCATTTTAAAGGATGGTAAAATTGTAATATAAAAAAAGTTAAAAAGAATACTGTCATGACATGCTTGGGAGTTTCATGGTAACGATTATGAGAATAAACCATTATAACGATTCTGAAATGATTTTAGTAGCAGTTTTTAAAACACTCAACTTACGCTTGAGAGTTTATTTTCCACCGGTTCTAATCGTTTTTTAAAATGATAAATTTACATATATGCCCATAAAAATAACTCAACTTCAACCAGTATTTGAGAGTTTTGTTTTTTTAATTATAAGGTAAGGGTTCTTTATTTGTTTTGTATTTATTAGTATTTTATAACTTCAAATATGATAAAGTTTTTTTTATCCTTCTTCGCTATTCTTTATAGACTCTTGAATAATTGAAAAATTGTAACTCCACTTCTCTCATAAAGCATCTAGAAATGAGATTTTAATAAATTTTTTTTATGATTGCTCTAAATTATTTTATATTTAATATGGTTGGAGACGCGCAAAACATATCAATAAACGAGTACAAAAATACAAGTTCATGTGATAAATCATGCTATTAGGAGGGAGTAATCTAATTAGATGGGGCATAAGACCATAAATTAGTTATTAAGGGAGCTCAAAGTATGGAGAAATATTTAGTACTTAGTTTCTACCCATTGGAGATGGTCTACTTGTTACTAGAACAATTGTATAACTATAAAGTAAAGATGTATCTTAATGTTGCACTAGATAAAAATAAAATTAATTAGGATCTACATCAACTAAATCACATAAAGTCAATATACTTAATAAGCAAATATTCTTGTTTTCATATGCTTTTGTACATAAGTGAGCAGCCCCTGATATTGGTATAAGTGGTTATCACTGATAAAAGGCAACAGCAAAAACTCACTAAATCTAAAATATATACTTGAAAGTAACTTATTAAGTTTCTTCAAGCCACGCAATCAAAAAAACTAGTAGCTATTGTGGGATTTACCTTGGTAAAGGAATTAAGTCATTGCATTTTCATTAAGATACTATTATACTATTATGCTGATGTGCTAGAAACGAGTAAAATACACGCAGCTTCGTGGGATCTTCAAGAAGGAAAGTCTAAGCACGTAGCAACTCATCATCATCGTCGATCTCAATCTCAACTAAATGCTCCAACAACTCATTGTCCTTCAAAGAAAATTTATTAGCACACAACAGTGACATGTCACCTAGATAATGTGTTGCCCTATCCACTACACTAATAGCCTCCTTTATAGGATTGTTGTCCTCTTTAACCTTGTGTTCAGTTTTTCAACTTGTATATTGTAACTTCGGATTACAACCTAGAGAAGTCAAGTCATTCCACTTCCTTCAACATTGACAACATTCAATGAAGCTTGATTTTGTGCTACCATGTTATCAATGCCTCAACTAGATTAGGGCGCTCTACACTGTTTTGAGATATATGAGCTCTTTTTCTCTTCATCTCCCTAGGGGTGTACCATCTTCCTCATCAGCCTATCTTTGCAAAGAGCTACATAACTTGTCGTAGTTATATACAGGCTTGCTCCTCCATTCAACAGCACTAGGATTTGACTATAAAAAAATACACACATTGTAAGTGACAATATATTTCTCCAACAAGCATATTTAAATCAACATGGATTGCCTACCTAGACCATTAAAATAGCTTGATCAAAATCAGTGTTTTCTGTTTTTGGATCTAAGCTTCAGGTTTGTCTTATTCATTTAGCTTTGGTTTAGTCAAGAGAAAAAGAGTCTGATCCTATACGGCTTAACATTCATTAGTTTGTGTAAATTGAATGATTGAGATCATAAGTGTTGGTCAATCACATGGATTGCCTATCTAGACTTATTAGAATAACTTGAAATGCTAAATTTTTATCATAGGACGAATTATTCTTTCTACAAGCATAATTTAGCCGAATTATCATACTAGAAGGTGAAATTGCCTACTATTGACAAGTAACGGAGTTAGTTCTTTAGTTCAATAATGTGCTACAAAGTTGACGGAGCTACAAAGTTGTTATAATCGTGTTTATTAGTTGAGTGCCGTTGTTTTGATGAACTTGTTACAATCAAAATCAGTGTTTTCTGTTTTGGATCTAAGCTTCAAGGTTTGTCTTCTTCATTCAGCTTCAGTTTATTCAAGAGAAACAGTCTGATCCTACTACGGCTAACATTCATAGTTTGTATAAATTTGAATGATGAGAGATCATAAGTGTTGGTCAATCACATGGACTACCTACCTAGATTGACTAGAATAGCTTGATCAAAATCAGTGTTTTTGTTTCTGGATCTAAGCTTCAGGGTTTGTCTTCTTCATTCATCTTCAGTTATTCAAGAGAAAAAGAGTTTGATCCTACTACGGCTTAACATTCATTAATTTGAGTAAATATGATGATTAAGATCATAAATGTTGGTTAATCACATGGATTGCCTACCTCGACGATTAGGATAACTTGAAATCTAAATTTTTATCATTAGGATGAATTATTCTTTCTGCAAGCATAATTTCTGTCGGATTATATACTAGAAAGTAAAATTGTCAATTGTTGGCAATTAACGGAGTTAGTTTCAGTTCAATAATGTTGTTGAAAGTTGATGGAGCTACAAAGTTGTTATGATCCGTTAGTTTCATTAGTTGAACACCGTTGTTTTGATGACTTGTTACGATCAAAATCTGTGTTTTCTGTTTCTGGATCTATGCTTCGGGTTGTCTTCTTCATTCAGCTTCAGTTTATTCAAGAGAAACAGAGTCTAATCCTACTACGACTTAACATTCATTAGTTTGTGAAATTTGAATGATTGAGATCATAAGTGTTGGTCAATCAGTGGATTGCCTGCTGGATTGATTAGATGCTTGAAATGCTAAAATCTATCATTAGGATGAATTATTCTTTCTAAAAGCATAATTTCAGTCGGATATCATACTAGAAGGTGAAATTGCCTGCTATTGACAAGAATGGAGTAGTTCTTCAATTTAATAATGTTGCTGCAAAGCTGATGGAGCTACAAAGTTGTTATAATCTGTTAGTATTAGTGAACATCATTGTTTGATGAACTTGTACGATCAAAACAGTGTTTTTGTGTCTGGATATGTTGATGCTTGATTTTGACACCAACTACTGTATGTGAGAAATGCTAAGCGAGGTTAGAAGTCACACGTGATTATGGAAGTATTTAGAATAAAGGGTGAAGCAAAACATTTAAAGTGGTCCAAATGCCCACAGGCGAATCTACGTCCACTGATTTTTAATTAAGAGAGTAAGGTCAGGTCGCGTTCAGCGACTGAGTTACAACTTAGAGAATACAAGAGAGAGAGAGAGAGAGAGAGAGAGAGAGAGAGAGAGAGAGAGAGAGAGACAAAGAGAGAGAGACAAAGAGAGAGAGAGAGGAGTATGCTATTCTAGAGTGAAATTAGCCAATCCCGCAAATGAGAGGGAAGACCTCTATTTATAGCGAGATGGATCAGGTAATGATTACTAAATCTGCAAGTGGATGGGTATCGTGAAATCCTTCCCTACATCTCATTGCTCACCTGCCTGAGTGATTTCCTTGACTTGTGCAAGGATTAGACATGTGGACGGTTTCCAACCATTCGCCAACCTGGCGTTCACCCACTACACTGGTAGGAGCATGTCACTACATTATCATGCGATGTGGCCGCCACTAAGCGGTCGTGGAACCTTTTTAGTTCTGACCACCATGCTGACAAGACTCTACGTCAGCCCTACTTTTTCAAGCATAACAGAAGTCCCCTAATTTTTAAGGTTTGAAAATTGAACCTTGAGAACTTCACAATTATGCCTTGATTTGATATGTTCCACATGACGCCCGATCGGTCCGACCTGGCTACAAGGAGGTCGCAAGACATAGCATAATTTCAGCCAGATTATCACACTGAAGTGGTCTCCTTCCGCAAGGTTACGACCTGGACCAGACCTTATTCAGTGTCGTATTGATGCATCTTTATCTTGACCGAGGTCACGACCTAGTTAACTTAGCGTATTTTTTGCTGAAGGCAAGGAGTCACATCGTTCACAATTGACCGTTGCATCGCTTCACAATGACATGCGATGAAGAGTGTTTTATCCTAACGACCTCTTCAGATATTATCCGTTGTGCTTTGGAAGCTAATCCATTAATGAAATATCATTATTCTGACAAACGTGTCCTATGCATAATAAGTGGCAGCCATGCGCATTAAATGTAAGTCATGCTGAAATGACATTCTTATCAGAATATTAACGGATGAGAGCGCATTTAATGTAGAGGAGGGAAACGAGCCGTCACTCGATTATTTCAACGGAGAGAAGCTATGATTAGGTTTCTCGAGGCGTGACTAGGGGTGAGCGGTTCCGGGTACCCTGCATTTTCAGGGACCGGAACCGCACAGTGCAGGTTCCAAAAAAAAAGAACGGAACCGGAACCGCACAGTAGATTCTTCAATCAAGGAACCGAAACCTAAAATGCAGGTTCCGGTTCCTTTCCAGGGTACCCTGTAAAAATTAATCACCCCACTATTAGTTTAAAAAATAACAAAAACACCTTATAAGTTTACAAATACACCCTTAACAAATTTTCATTATATCTCTTATGTCCAATGTAACCATAACCTGTAATCTCTAAGCAACACTTGAATTCAATCAATTCATCACAATTCACATAAAATTCGTCAATCAAAACCAAAACACAAACAATTATTCATCACAATTCACAAAATAAATTATTAATATTTATTAATTTATTAATTTAAGTTTATAATTGGTCAATTGGGTATATTAATATACCAAATATAATTTAGTAAATTTAATATTAGAAACTAGTAATGTTATAATTAAATAAGTGATCATACTACAAATAAATTGTAATATTATAATTAAAAGTGATCGTACTACAATGTAAATTGTAATGTTTAATTAA